CTTATCAGTTTTTTACTAATTTAAGTAGATTGAACATAAAACAATTAAGTTATTTGCCCCCCAAAAAACTCAAGAATTATGTTGTTTCAGCTCATTTTTAATAAGAAGTTTGAACAAACAGAAAACTACATTTTTGAGTGTATTATGTGCTGACATCATGGTAAAGACAAAAAATCTTTTAGAAATTAGTTATTAAATATTTGATAAATCATTAATATTTTGTTTAAAGGCTGATTTTTGTGCCTTCGACTATACTGTACACTTACTGGCCACTTTATTAGGTACACGTCCAACTGCTAGTTAACACAAATTTATAATCAGCCAATTACATGGCAGCAACTCAATGCATTTAGGCATGGTCAAGACAATCTGTGGCAGTTCAAACAGCATCAGAATGGGGAAGAAAGGTGATTTAGATGACTTCAAATGTGGCATGGTTGTTGCTGCCAGACGGGCTGGTCTGAGTATTTTAGAAACTGCTGATCTACTGGGATTTTCATGCACAACCATCTCTAGGGTTTACAGAGAATGCTCTGAAAAAGAGAAAATATCCAGTGAGCGGCAGATCTGTGGGCGCAAATGCCCTGTTGATGCTAGAAGGTAACAAGAGAATGGGCAGACTGGTTCAAACTGATAAGAAGGTGACAGTAACTCAAATAACCACTTGTTACAACTGAGGTATGCAGAAGAGCATTTCTGAACGCACAACACATCTACAGCAGAGGAGACCATACCGTGTGCCACTCCTGTCAGATAACAACAGGAAACTGAGGCTACAATTCTGTGTCAAAGCCACAGCCTACCTGAGTATTGTTCCATCTTCTGATAGCTACTTCCAGCAGGATGATGCGCCATGTTATAAAGTGCAAATCATCTCAGACTGGTTTCTTGAACATGAAACTCAGTTCACTGTACTCAAATGGCCTCCACAATCACCAGACCTCAATCTAATAGAGCACCTTTGGGATGTGGTGGAACTAGAGATTTGCATTATGGATGTGCAGCTGACAAATTTGCAGCAACTGCGTGATCTTATCATGTCAATATGGACCAAAATCTCTGAGAAATATTTCCAGGACCTTGTTAAATCTACGCCATGAAGGATTAAGGCAGTTCTGAAGGCAAAAGAGCATTACAAGTAAGCTGTACCTAATAAAGTGGCCGGTGAGTGTATATTCATATATTTATATACTATTGGTGGATTTTATTTCTGCATGAATTTCACTATTAAACATAATTGTTTTAAAAGTAAAGTTCAAATAATGGACTCAGATGGGTAAAAAAAATACATTTGATCAATTAACCACCCCTGAGGTCTGTGTTTAAAATGAAACAAATTTCTCAATGGAGAAAATGAATGGGGTTTTTCTTCTGGAACCTGACTGCTGCGCTCCATTTACCGTCATGTTGTTACAAACCAGTATGACCTCATTTATTCTGAAGTACACAAAGTAATATATTTTCCAAATATCTTTTGTTTCACATAAAAAAGGAAGTCATGCAGGTTTGAGGTGAATTATCCCTCAGAAAAATCCCTTAGAAAAGTAAATGACACTTTAGATTAATGCAGTTTCCTACTTTTATTTCCTTTTATTACTAACCATAAAAAAATATGTCAAATCAGTAACAGGTAACATCGATTTTAATAACATCTCGATTAATTGGATGACTGCATTGAGGGTCATACTATTCACACCTCATGGCATTTTGTTCCACACAAAGCCTATTATTTGGTTTTGCAAATATCCAATTTAGTAAAAAAAAAAAAAAAAAACATGTAATAGGGAGGAGGGTAAGGAAAAAAGAGGGAGCGTGAGACAGACGAGGTGGTCTGAAAAAGTTATTTTCTGGGCACGGTCATGAAAAGCAGTATGCTTGCTTTAGATATCCATGGCAACCTTATGCTATGAATTGAGTCTGAAAGATGCATGGAAACACAACAGCTACTCTCTTTATGTCTGACAGTGGCAGCGACTGTGTGAGAGTGAATGAGACTGTGTGATACTATGTGCTTCTGTGTGTACTAGAGAAAACGGAGTAAAAAAGGCAGAGGGGGTAAAACAGGGACTTGGGCAGCTTGCCGAAAACCTGCCTGTCTCACAGTGAGTTCGCTAAATGAATGTCTAATTTGCAGCAGGCCTTGGGAAGAGTGAAACATGCTGCGCCTTTCAAAGAAAACACAGCCATCTCAATGCAGAGAGATACCACAGATTCAACAACAGCTGCTGGGGTTAACCAATAAATGCTGAATTTATGATTGGAGAAGTTTTTATTGCTTTTCCAAAAGACAATCAAACATCATGCTTGTTTAATTGCTATTTTATGATGCCAGCTCCAGTTCGGTACAAAAAGATGGCATTTAAAAACAATGTGATTTATTTTTATTCCATTAAGTATAATAGGTGTATCTGCTTAGATTTAAAAAGGTACTCTGTTTTGACTTTCTATCTACACCGAGTTTTGTTTTTATCATGGGAAAGGGGCTTTTGAAGATGCTATCCAAACATGTGTTGACTGGAAAAAAGATCATGTTTTTTCATTCATTTTTTTCATTTTCCTTTGCCTAGTCTCTCTTTCACAGCTTGCCACAGTGGAATGAGCTGCCAACTATTCCAGCTTATGTCTTACACAGCAGATGCCCAGCCGCAACCCAGTATTGGGAACTAATTCACACTTACTAGTCATACACTACGGACAATTTAGTTTTATCAATTCACTTATAGTGCATGTCTTTGGACTGTGAGGGAAACCGGAGCACCCGTAGGAAACCCATGCGAACATGGGGAGAACATGCAAACTACAATGTTTTTTCCTAAACATGAAAAAAAAATTATCTGTTTAGTCTGTTTAGTCACTTGATTCCTAATGTACAGTACCACAAAATATCACTGTTTATAATAGTACGCTCTTTCCATGCTTTGGATTTGTTGCTTATAATAAAATATGTTTTATACAGTCCTCTAGAGATCCTCTATCCCTATTAGATTCTAGCAATTACTGACTAGCAATTACTGTCAATTACTTGTGGGTTTCCGCCACAAGTCCAAAGATATGCGGTACAGGTGAATTGAATAAACTGAATTGGGTGTAGTGTATGTGTGTTTATGAGTGTGTATGGATGTTTCCCAGTGATGGGTTGCAGCTGGAAGGGCATCGGCTGCATAAAGCATATGCTGTATAAGTTTCCGGTTCATTCCACTGTGGTGACCCCTGATTATAAAGGGACTAAGCCAAAAAGAACATGAATAAATGAATGAATGAATAAATGAATGAGCCTGTAAGATTGTAGTGCCTCTGACATTTCTGTGAAAGAGAAACTTCTGAAAATGTCTAAAAAAGGGTTCCCACGCTTTCATGGACACCAGATTCAAGGACTTTTAATGCACCATTAATTTTTAAATCAAGCACCTTTGGAATTCATACCCCAGCTTATCTAGCTCCATTTAGGTCCTTACTGTACTTAATTCAATTACATTTAATATTTATGTTAAAAATGTCTGACATATTTTTTTAAAAGTTAGAGCATTTAAAAGCCTTGAACAAAAAAAAATATCCAATTTGTTGAATTCAATGCTGGTGATATTCAAATATTATTATATGTTTAAAATATTAGAAAATTAAAGATTGATCAGATGTGCCTTATTTGTCAGTGTTATTGTACAAGACTTAAACTAAAGATTGTTTATTTAAGAATTTGTCATTTCTTTCATTCTGTATTTGACAATTAAGTACAACAATTTATTTGTTGAAATAAAACTATAAACTAAATTTAATTCAAGCAACTCCAAGGACCTGTGTTTGTTTAAAGTATTTTCCAGGCCTTTAATCCATGTCTGAAATTCAAGTACTTATAAGTACTTTCAAGAAGCTTGAGAACGCTGCTGAAAACTTCAATGAGAGCTTTTTATGAATTGTTTTTCCAACCTCCATAGTCTTATAATATGTAGAAACAGACAAATGACACAAAACAGCTCTAAACCATGACACCGTGTCCTAACTACATGTGTTGCGACACTGTAACATGATAAAAGCTATCTTTTCCAAGTTAGAATGAGTTTTGTTTCCTAACCATCCACAGCAGTGACATGCACAATTACTATTTAAGAAATACTTTTTATTTATGTGAAGTTGCAACAGAACAGCATAAACAATGACAATGATCCCCTCAGGTACACCTCATGTGCTTTATTCAGTGTTAAATGCCATAAATGTGAGTTTTACGTGACATTTATTACCATACTACTGAAAGCAGAAGCAGATAGTTCACCTCAGATCTTGAAAATAAATGGTTTGTAAATGAAAGTTAGAACTGTGACTCAGTGCAAACCAGTAGCCTACAGTATGTACTTTTAATAATGTTATAAATGTTTAATGCATTAATTAGATTATAACCCTTACCATTTCAGCAGGAGTGCAGTGTCTGGTATTTAAATAAGTGGTATTTAAATGTTTCTGTCATGTCACGTCCGTTTGGGGCAGACAGCCAAACTGCTTGTTAGTGGAATCTTACCTTATTGTGTGTAGTTAGGACACAGTGTGAGATTGGAACTAGGAATAACAAATTGTAAGTGATTTTACGAGAGACGAGAAAAATAATCAACTGTTATTTATCATCGATGTAGAGTGGACTCATGTAGGATTAAATAAGCATATGTACAGTATGAGTTGAAACTTGTTTTGTATTGACTTGTATTATTTGCTTTGCCTAATAATTGTATTTAATTTTTTAATTTGATTGATTTTTCATGTTGAAAGTAATGTTTAACCTCTAAGTCAAATCAATGTTTGAGCAATTCCTTTAAAAAATACTGAATAATGGTTCTTCTGAAAAAACATAAAACATTTTGAATATTAATGAGAAAATTACGAGAGAAAGTATTCGAATCTAACTGATTTGTTCATTCAAACTCAACTACAAACTTTTAGAACCATATAAATAAATATGGGATTATTTTTATCTAGATACTTTATGACAACAAAAGAGGCAGCCCACTGACGTGTATGTTTGTTAAACTAGATATTTTATTGCGGTAATCAACCTTATGCTCAAAACTCAAGGGCCTTATTCTGAAATGTGCTTTGAAGACCTTTGTTGGATATCTACCTCAAACGGTCTCACAATTTGCATCCAATATCTGCAATGCATTCGCTTCTGGTTCCAGACACCACTGAACCTGCACATACAGTAAAAACAAGCATTCCCTAAATACCATACAGTTAAACATTGACAATGCTATATAGATGTGATTAGTGCCTGATTGATTAAGTTAAGTAGAAGACTTAATAATACAGTTTGACATATTGCCTTGTGTAGCTTGTAGGATAACTTAGGATAACTACAGTAGCTGCTTCTCTAAAGGGTACTTGTGACTGTTCTGTGGCAGAATAAAACACAAAGGCAACATGGTTTCTTCCAATTGATTATTTAGACTGCTGGCTTACATATGTCTCATCCTCTTGTTGGGAAGGCAGGCACTTAACAAGCTGCTTGACTGGTGTTCATCTGTAGATTTGGCTCATGCTGGTGGGCTAACAACCTGACAGCCTGTTCTCCAAGAGTGGGCTTAACATTGAAGCGTTCTATGAAGAAGCGGAGGAAAAATACTCAATGCACGTTTTACTGAAAACGTCATGAACTCTACAATAATCCATACCTACAATAATGCAGACCAAATCCATCACAGGATTAAATAAATTAATAAATAAAAAAGCAATTGTGGCTTTCCAGTTCTGATTTTCTTCCTCTTAATTCTTAAAATATTATATTATAGTATTGTATATTTTTTCATAACTGTAACTACTTATAATTCTGACTTACAAGACAAATGCAGACTTCAGAATAATTGTTTTTGCTTTGATTCTGAGTTTCTGTATATAATTTCTGAGCTTATGTCTTGCATTTCTTACAGTATCTCAACTTTTTTTTTATTAGATTGAAAGTCTTGTAATCATCACTTGTGGGATGTAAAATGAGAATTCAGAACTTTATATTCTGAACTTTATATTTATATCTCTCAATTCAGAGTGCATATTTTTTTGCAATTCTGACTTCTTTCTTAAAATTAGAGCTGTTTGTTGTGCTAGGGAGTTTATAAGCTGTCTTTCAATTCTAACTTGTCATGTTTTCTAATAATTTTGAGCTTACTTTTCCCACATTGGGACGTCACGGTGGCGCAGTGGGTAGCACAATCGCCTCACAGCAAGAAGGTTGCTGGTTTGAGCCTGGCTGGGTTAGTTGGCGTTTCTGTGTTAAGTATGCATGTTCTCCCCGTGTTAGCATGGGTTTCCTCCAGGTGCTCCGGTTTCCCCCACAGACCAAAGACGTGTGGTATAGGCAAATTGAATAAGCTAATTTGGCCGTAATGTATGTGAGTGTGTGCAAAAGTTTGTCGGTGTTTTCTAGTGTTGTGCTGTGGATGGAAGGACTGGATAAGTTGGTGGTTCATTCCGCTGTGGCAACCCCAGATTAATAAAGGCACTAAGCCGAAAAGAAAATTAATGAATGAATTTTCCCACACTTTGAGTACATAGATTTGTAGTTCTGACTTTTTTCTTAAAATTCTCTCAATTCCAAATTTATAGACTGTATTGCAATTTATTTTTCTTGCAATTCTGAATTATTAGTTTGCAATTTGGACAAATGAACAATTACTTCTCACAATTTTAAGGTTATATACGATCTAAAATGTTTATTTTTGGCCAATTATACATTTTATTTATTCATTCATTCGTTTTCCTTCGGTTTCGTACCTTTATTCATCAGGGGTTGCCACAGCGGAATGTACTGCCAACTTTTCCAGCATATTTTTTACACAGCAGATGCCCTTCCAGCTGCAACCCAGTACTGGGAAACACTTATACACACTCATTCAAACACATACACTACAACCCATTTAGCTTATCCAATTCACCTATACCGCATGTCTTTGGACTGTGGGGAACACTGGAGCACCCGGAGGAAACCCACACTAACATGGGGAGAACATGCAAACTCCACACAGAAATGCCAACTGACAGTCGTCGCCAATGGCATAGTGGTTAGTGCATTGACACATGCCACTCCTGTGTTCACAGTGACCTGAATTCGATTCCTGCCTCAAGGTCCTATGCTGACCTCCCCCTCTCTCTCTGTTCCCTATGCTTTCCTGTCTAAACTTATTGTCTTATCAATTAAAGGTGAATACCCAAAAAAAAAAAAAAAAAAAAAAAAAAAAGTAAAAAATGCCAACTGACCCAACCTGGACACAAACCAGCAAACTTCTTGCAGTGAGGCGACAGTGCTAACCACTAAGCCACCGTTCCGCCCCAATTACAAATTTATATATTGCAATTCTGCAAATGTATTTTGAAATTCTGAGTAGTATGTATCCTGTAATTTTCACTTATTTCCCTCAAAATTAAAAAAAATTCAATATGAACTAGATTAAAATTTTATTTAATCTTATCGTTTTGCTTTTTTTTTTTTTTTAGAAATCTGATTTCTATCATCTGCCATTAGTCTGTCGAGCAGTTCTGAAATATAAACTGTGAGATATAAAAATCACACAAGTGAGAAAAGAGCCAGAAATGAACTTTTATACATCCTTAGACACAACACACACCTTAAGTCAAACAGCAAAAATTGAGTGTTACTCACTTGGGTCTTGGACTCTCTCCTCTTTTCTTTGCTCTAAGTGCCTGTGTATGATGGCGAGGACCTTGCGCTGATTGGTGATGATGTTTGGTTCAGCTTTAACCTCAGTGAGACTCAGGTTGCTCTTTATTGACACTGAGGCTGTGGCTCGGGCCACCATAGGCAACTGGTCTTGGTAAGGTTTATCTGTAAAGCCTTGCTCCACCCTCTGGATGGCCTGGATACTACAGGAAGCATAAAATCAGACAAATGAAGACAAGGTGTGAAATTAACTGAAGCATATGTGTGACTCATTATGAAAAGCATAGCTGCAAGCCAGATGCATATTTATATTATACACTTAAAAAAGGTACGTAGGCATTGCAGGGAACGATGATGAGGTTTTTTTAACTTGCAAAAATGAAATACACTAAGTTATATATACAGTTAATGTTTTTTTTAAAGCTCAACATATTTCAAGCTAAGTCAGCTACTTGCTTTCAGTCAAAAACAGAATTTTCTGCAAGATTTGGTAATATATTTTGGTTCTATAAAATTTACATAACTCTGTTTAGCAAAGTAAAGTGCAAGTACATAAAAAAACCTCACCTTCTGTTGGTCAGGATGGTGTAAATCTCCTGTACAAGAAGCTCTGCAGCTCCAGGTTTACAGTGGATTGTGCCATCTATCATCTCCTTGACCAGACTGATGTTTTGCTTCACAAAAAACTTGAATAACCAATTAAATAAAAGGGTCTTAAGGTTAGATCTGTATAAAATGTACTTATGAATGACAACAAGAAACAAGGTATTTCGCTTGGAGATTATTTCTGCACGGTACCACACTCACTTTCTCAATTTGGGACCAATTTGATTGTTTGGCAGCCAATGAAGTTCCGTTATCAAAGGAGTGCATTTGAAAATCCCTTGGGAAGTACCAGGAAAATATTTCTGCCACGAGGTATCCATTGGAAAAGTCTCTTTTGGACAAAATAAAGAGCATTGCAGGTGTTTATGTTTGAAACTTTTATTTTTGATTCACGCTTGAAACGTGACGTTAAATTAAATATATGAACTAATTACCGAAAAGAACTGAACCGAATGACTAAATTGAGTCAAAATGTAAAAATAGCCAGGTGTATATCGTCTTTAAACTTTAATACAAGTACAAATAGAGGGTAAATGTCTCCAGCTTATGGGTTTGTGAGGAGACGCTGTTATCTTCTTTAAGTTACTCACCTGCGAACGTTTTTTGGGAAAAACGATAAATCAAGACTTTGCAGCCATTTCAAAACCTCTCGTGGCAGACCAGCCTTCTTTGGCGACAGTGAATAGGCCATTTCTTGCTATGAAAAACGAGTTTGGTGAAGAGAACAAACCCTTGTTTCATTGTTTACAGTTGCATAGAAACAGGCGTGAGAACAACTCGGGAGCTGAAGTGCTGCCACCTGCTGGTGCCAGATCATCAATTATTGTTCAGTCTATCGACATTTTATGTAATATAATGCCGCACAGTCATTCTAGTATGTCTATGTATCTCGTTAACAAGCACTGTGCATCATCCATCCACCACCTATCTATCCATCTATCTATCTATCTATCTATCTATCCATCCATCCATCCATCCATCCATCCATCCATCCATCCATCCATCCATCCATCCATCCATCCATCCATCCATCCATCCATCCATCCATCCATCTATCTATCTATCTATCTATCTATCTATCTATCTATCTATCTATCTATCTATCCATCTATCCATCCATTCATTCATAATCCATCTGTTTCTTAAATTTTCAAGGCAAAACAAGATGCGTTTTTTCAGTCAAGTTTATTGAATTTTTGAACAGTTAAATATCAAGGACATTTTATTGGCTCATTCTTTTAAAATCAGACAACAGAGATAAGGTAGTTGTGGTTACATGTAAAAGGTAAAACTGCTTTTCTGATTTAACCTCATTATAGTATTATTAACCCACAACAGTGAACATAATGACTGTTACGACCCCCTCGTTTTGAGTCGCAACATAAAAGAGTTCGGACAACAAAAGAATGTATATGCAACTTATTTATTATACATAAAACTAAATAGAACAACAAATCAACAAACAAACGTCTAGGGGACAAATAAAGAAAATAACTACTTTAACTACACAAATAAATAATGCTAAACAAAACCATAAGGTTGCAGAAATGAAGAGGTGATCTTAACACGAAGACGGCCCGTAGCCACACCGTCCTTCAGAAGCTAGCACTCAAAACCCTTTTATATGGTTTGAGCCAATTGGTGACAACCAGGCACCCAATCAGGATCTGCCACATCCATACTGAAGTCCTGGGGTCGTCACACCTCCCACTCCAAAAGGAGGTTCCCTAAAGAACCGACAAAAACAACTAGTGGAACAAACAGAACATAAACCAACTAAATTGAAATTTACAATAACAGGAGTACTCATCTCCATAAATCTCACTCCAGTTTTCTCCCCGACTCCTGGGCCCTAGGAAATCAGAGTAAAGACTAGAGATAGAAAATGAGAGAGAGACAGAATCGAGAGAGAGAGAGAGAGGGAGAAAGACAAACAAAAGATATGCCCAACCTAATGGGACATTTTACACTCTTGAGAGAGCGTCAGCAATCAGGTTGTCTTTGCCACGAATATGTTTAATCAGCAGAGAGAATGGTTGCAATATAAGGCTCCATCTCATAATCCGCTGGTTCTTTCCACGCATTCGATCCAAGAAAGTTAAAGGATTATGGTCTGTATAGATGACAATAGGACCACAAACTGAACTCAAATAGACCTCAAAGTGTTGAACAGCCAACACAAGAGCTAAAGCCTCTTTTTCCACTGTGGAATAGACCTGCTGATGACAATTGAATTTTTTGAAAAATAACTGACTGGATGCTCAACTCCTTTGTCATCTTCCTGAAGAAGAACTGCACCAGCACCAAAAGCACTAGCGTCCACCGCTAGAAGAAAAGGTTTCTCAAAGTTTGGTGCAGTCAACACCGGAGCATTAGCTAAAAGAGATTTAGCATTATCAAAAGCACATTGACACTGCACTGACCAATGGAAAGGTCTTTTTGGGCTCAATAAATCTGTCAGAGGGGCAACAACATCTGCAAAATTCTTACAAAAACCTCTATAGTAACCCACCATTCCGAGAAAACGCCTTAACTCACGACGAGTAGTGGGAGTGGGAAAACTAGAGATGGCTTCAACTTTAGCAGTAATAGGACGAACGCACCCTCTGCCAACCACCTTACCCAAATAAGTCACTGTAGCCTTACCAAACTCACACTTGGCAAGATTAACAGTCAAGTTAGCTTTAGCTAAACGTTCAAACAGTTCTCTAATTTGTGCTAGATGTTCTGACCAAGTAGAAGTGTACAGCACAACATCATCCAGGTAGGCTTCACATCCCTGCATCCCTGATAACACTCGATTTACCAGACGTTGAAAAGTCGCTGGAGCATTTCGAACTCCAAAAGGCATTACTGTGTACTGTAGGAAACTGTCTGGTGTAATAAAAGCAGACAATTCCTTAGCACGAGATGTTAACGGCACTTGCCAATATCCTTTTAAAAGATCAAACTTACTCACAAACTGTGCAGATCCTACCCGATCTACACAATCATCGATTCTGGGTAAAGGAAAACAATCAGGTTTTGTAAGTGAATTGAGCTTCCTATAATCAGTACAAAACCGATAAGATTGATCTGATTTAGTCACTAGAATGCAGGGGGAGCTCCACGAACTAAAACTGGGTTCTGCTAATCGGTGAGCAAGCAAATATTCCACTTCTTTCTCAAGGAGTTTCCTTTTAACAGGATTCACCCGATATGGATGTTGTTTTACAGGTGAAGCCATCCCAACATCAATGTCATGTTGAATGACATGAGTTTGAGTAGGAACATCAGAAAAGATAGAAGGGAATGAATTTACCAACTCAATGATACTGGTCTTCTCTGGTTCGCACAAATGAGACAGATGATGAAAGAGATTAACAAGAAATTCCGAATTATTCAGGCGTCCTTCCACAACTCCTCGTGAAGGACCACTCTTTTCATCCAGATCAGTAGTCATGTCCACAGAAGCTTCTGAAACACTGGAGTCAAGATCGGAGGTCACGACATGTACTGAAAGAGATGAAACAGGGCTCAAGTATGGCTTCAGCAAGTTAACATGGCAAACCTGTACTTTCTTTCGTCGATCAGGTGTACTTAAAAGATAGTTGTTATTCGTGTAACACTTTACTATGGTGTATGGTCCACTAAACCTAGCCTGAAACGGACTACTTAAAACAGGAAGCAATGCTAAAACTTTATCGCCAACCTGAAAACTTCGAAGTTTAACTTTGCGATCAAACAACCTCTGCATCTTTTCCTGAGACTTACCTAGTTTTCACAAAGCGATAGCTCGAGCTTCATAAAGTCGATAGCGAAAACCACTGACATAATCTAGAACATTCTCAGGTGGATCAGTGATGTTCCATTCATCGGCTAAAACAGCAATCGGGCCTCGGACTGTGTGTCCGAACACCAACTCATTGGGGCTAAAACCAGTGCTCTCTTGAACAACTTCACGAATAGCCAACAACATCCAAGGAAGACCATCCTCCCAGTCACAATCAAGTTCAACACAATAGGATCTCAAAAGTGACTTAAGAGTCTGGTGGAACCTTTCTAAACCTCCCTGACTCTGAGGATGATAAGCACTTGAGATATTGTGTTTAACTTTAAGTTGTTGTAGAACTTTTGAAAATTGTCGGGACATAAAATTTGAACCTTGATCAGACTGAATGGTTTTTGGAATACCAAAGATAGACATGAAATTTGTCAAAGCCTTTAAAATCGATTTTGTTGTGATCGATCTCAATGGATAAGCTGTAGGATAGCGTGTAGACTGGCACATTACAGTAAGCAAATAAGCATGTCCGGCCTTAGATCGGGGTAAAGGACCCACACAATCTATGATTAGGTGTTCAAAAGGGGTAGTACAAACAGCAATGGGTTGTAAAGGAGCCAATGGAATACGTTGATTAGGCTTCCCGGTCATTTGACAGTTGTGACAAGACCGTATGTATTTAGTCACATCTTTCTTAAGTCTAGGCCAATAAAATTCCCTCAAAATCCTATCACATGTCTTTCTTACCCCCATATGACCAGCAGGGCCTTGGTGTGACAGCCTTAAGACATCATGACGAAAAATTGAAGGAACCACAATTTGGATCCTAGGATCAAGAGAAGAGTCAGAAGACATAGGCTGTTGTCTGCAAAGCAACCCATCCCGAAGAATATAAGATGTGGAGACTTTGTTTTCTCCACCAGCACCGACTAAGGAAAACATCTCCTGAACAGCTTCATCCGCATGCTGGGCTTTAATCAGCTCAGCTCGAGTCACACTATGAAGTGGAGATAACAAACAAGTGTTAGCATTAGCATCACAAGGTGGACTTTCAGAAAGTGAAAGAGGCTTTTCAATAGGTGCATCAACAGATGTAATATTGTGCACAGGAGTCTCTTCATCTACAGTAGTGGTGTTCACAGTACCAGGCTCTAGTGAAGAGTCTGTAGATGAAATAAAAGTATCACTAAGAACACTTCCTGTCTCATCCAACACTCCTCTCTTAGTCATCGCTCGAGTTACTGCACATGCTGGAAACAAATCAGAACAGTCAGGAGGCTTATTCAATCCTTCAACAGAAGGAAACACTACAGGTGGAATTTCACCATCAGGTTTCTCCCACACATTACCACCAGCCAAGTCATTTCCAAGTATAAAGGTGACACCAGGAATAGGAAGGTTAGCACGAACTTCTACAACTACATCACCTGTTACAAGTTTGGAGTTAAGGTGAATGTGGTGCAATGGGACTTCCATGTAGCCCATTTCAAGCCCTCTGACCAGCACATGAGACCCAGTAGCAGTACGTTCAGACAAAGGCAAAAGTCCTTGCATCAAAAATGACTGTCCAGCACCTGTATCACGAAGAATACGAACAGGAACAAATTCATCAGAATCAGGCAAAGAAACACTACCATCAGTAATGAATGGCCCAAAATCCACACTGGTCTTATCCTCCATTTCACTGATATTTATTTTCTCAATCTGCTCGGTGCCAACATTGTGATTCACTTTTGAAATCAAACCAACAGGTTTAACAGATTTATCTTTCTTTTTTAAAATAGCACAGTCAGAAATTTTATGTCCTTGTTTTTTACAATAAAAACAAATAATTTCACCTTTTTGACGTGTGAGTGAAACATTTTCAGCAGGAACTGACACAACATGCTGACGTGAAAGCATCTTTTTACTTTTACTCATAGAATTCAGCTTTAATCTACTCATATCATTTACATGAGCAGTATTCTGGTGAGTGAGAGTAAATTCATCTGCCATAAGTGCAGCCTCAGACAGTTTAGTCACTTTATGCTCATTAAGATACATGGCCACAGCATTTGGAACACAGCACTTAAACTCTTCAAGAAGAATGAGCTCTCGAAGCTCCTCCTTAGATTTAATTTTTACTGATGAGCACCAGCGGTCAAACAAATTTTCTTTCTCTCTAGCAAACTCAAGAAAAGTGCTTTTCTCAGATTTAAAATGAGTTCTGAATTTTTGTCGATAAGCCTCAGGTGCTAATTCATAAGCTTGTAAAATAGCGGACTTTACAATCTCATAATCGCTACTTTGCTCTGTAGTCAACGCTGAATACACATCCTGTGCTCTCCCTATCAACACGCACTGCAATAATAATGTCCAAAAAGTCTTTGGCCACTTTAATGACTCTGCAACACGTTCAAAATGCTGAAAGTATTTCTCTACTTCCCTCTCCAAAAACGGCGGCACTAGCCTAATGTTTTTGTGTACATCAAACACATTTGACTCAGCAGCTGACATTACAGGAGCTTGATGTGATTTTAATTTCAATTCCAGCTCAAGTTTTCGCAATTGAAACTCTCTTTCCTCTCGCTCTTTCTCAAACTGCAACTCCATTTTCCGCATCTCTAACTGTTGTTGCATTTTCTTTACTTCAAAATCATTCTCCAACTCTCTCTTTCAAAGCACAAACATCACGATCGGCTCTAAATTTTTCCGCATCAACACACAGCTGTTTTTCTTGCAACGACATTTCACTAAACTTAGCATTTAGATCGACACTACAAACAGGAGACGATACAGACTCATCAGGAATAATAGGAGCTCTTACCTCTAAAACGCCGCGTTCACAAAGTGAGCTCTTCACAGCTTTCATCAGCGTTTCCTTGAGTTTCTTGTCATTACTCGTTACCTCAATATCAAAACGCTCCGCGATCTGCAACAGTTCCTCCTTCGTACATCTCTCCAGTAGTATCTCCGAAGGAAATGCAAAGAAATCTTCAATAATTGATGAAGACGACATGACTGCCAACAGCAAACGCTCTAACAACAACAACAAAGCGCGCACACACTGAAGCGCACGTGAAACTAGCGCCTAACAACTACAAATCCCATCAGCCACTTCGCCAGGAACAATAACAGCAGACGCGCTCAGTTTACAAAAACTCACCGTTATAAGAGATTACTATAAACTATAGTTACTCTATTAATCGGAGGGCATCGTAATTAACAAATACGGAAAAAAACAAAGTGTCACCTTATGAAAAGAATGAAAATGAGAGACTTCAGTTCCTACCTACACGAAAAATAACTAACTTAACCTACCTAATCTTCAAAGGTGTACCGGACTCGGGGCGGCTTTTAAACGCTAAGCTCGAGGACAATTGGCATAGCCAAAAGCCCGATGCGTACCCCCGACAGAGACTTAATAATCTCCATCCAGAATAACCTTCAAAAATAAAAAAGGCAAAATAACAAACTAAAATAACAAATAGTGTCTCGATGGAAGGATTACAAACCCAGCTGAGAACACTCTAACTACCTGAAGTCTACTCATTTACATTGGTGAACACAAACAAAATGCATTACCTTATGTGTAGTTAAATTATCCGGACGAGCGCCCAATTTTATGTTACGACCCCCTCGTTTTGAGTCGCAACATAAAAGAGTTCGGACAACAAAAGAATGTATATGCAACTTATTTATTATACATAAAACTAAATAGAACAACAAATCAACAAACAAACGTCTAGGGGACAAATAAAGAAAATAACTACTTTAACTACACAAATAAATAATGCTAAACAAAACCATAAGGTTGCAGAAATGAAGAGGTGATCTTAACACGAAGACGGCCCGTAGCCACACCGTCCTTCAGAAGCTAGCACTCAAAACCCTTTTATATGGTTTGAGCCAATTGGTGACAACCAGGCACCCAATCAGGATCTGCCACATCCATACTGAAGTCCTGGGGTCGTCACAATGACATTATCTGTATTGTAGAAAGTTCTTCATTGCTTTAGGGAGAGGCAAATGAGGTAGAAGATGCAGTCGGGAACGTCCCAACCTCTCCCTGATTTGCTGACGGCAAAGTTGACTCAGAGAACGAGGTGTCGCTGCAAAACAGACACAACTGATAAATGCGAATGCAGTAAAACATCACAAGTCAAAACTAAACATAGGTGACTTTAAGCCTCCAGTGTTGATGTACCTTTAACTCACCTTCATAAATCAATAGGAAACCCTCTGTAAGGCTCCCTGGAGGAGCAACTTCAACGGCCCGTTTATACTGCAGGTTGCGTGCGTTTACGTCTGCCCCAAATTCCAGCAAGAGTTTCACAATGCTTAGACAATCTTTCTGAGATGCCGCATGAAGAGGAGTCTCCATATATGAACCTCTCTGCACATTTGCACCTGTGATGGTGAAAACGCAATAAAATGGTATTCCAGTGTAAGTCATGGGGTGCTCAAACAGTTCCCGGAGAGACAATTTTAATGTTTTAATGTGTGAATTATCCTTCAAACAAGCTAAAACTAAAAAAAAAAATCTATAAAAAAATAGCAATAAAAAAAAAGAAATAAGTTAGTTAGAAATAATCTGCCCAGGATTTTGGCTCATCCAGAAGAGGTTATTAAAAAAAGAAAGAAAAATTAAATACAGAGATAAAATTGTTAACTCGAATAGTTTTTTAAATTTTTTTATTATAACATATTAATAACAATTCCCAGTATTAAATACTGGCTTATTGTAGGGTAATTATTAAGATATTGTCTGTTTATAGCACTTATAAAATATGTTACGATTCGGCATGCCTTATCAACTATTACAGTTTTTCTTAGTCGCTTTGGTGCAAAAGCGTGTCACTTGCTCAAAATGGATTGTTCATTCCTCAAAAGCATGTATTCATGTCAATCAAAGTGTCAGTATCATCAAGATGAAAAGTCCTGACACCATTGTTTATGAACAAGATAGTCAAATGGCTTAGTCATGTTTTCATTATGACAGTTTACTCTGTACATTTTTTCAATGCAAAAAAGTAAGATGTTGGTGACACCTCTTGAAAATGCTCATGAAAGCACTAGATACTATTTGCACAGCCATTTGAAAACTACAGTAAAGTCAGACATCACTGCATTTAGTGAGGTATCTGAGTACAAGACACTGAATATGTATGTTTCACATTTTTTACTGCATATGCTCTTTGCAATTCAAATTTATTCACAGCATTGTGAAAATATTCTTATTTACAACAAACATTACAGTTTTTCTCAGTCGCTGTAGTGCGTTTCTCACAACACCAGTGCATTTCTGCACAACAGTTGATGCATTTCTCAAAACAATTAGTACAAACTGCAAAACCTAGCTGATAACCTGCAAAAGAGCGTCACATGCTCAAAATGGATAGTTCATTCCTCAAAAGCAAGTATTCATGTCAATCAAAGAGTCAGTATCATCAAAATGAAAAGTCCTGACACCATTGTTTATGAACAAGATGTTGATTGTCATGTTTTCATTATGTCAGTTTACTCTGTACATTTTTTTTAATGCAAAAAAGTCAGATTTTGGTAAAACTTCGTGAAAATGCTCAAGATAGTACCATATACTATTAGCACAGCCAATAGAAAACTACAGTAAAGTTAGACATTACTGCATTTAGTGAGTATCTAGTACAAGACACTGAATATGTATGTTTCACATTTTATCTGCATTTGCTCTTTACAATTTGAATTTTTTCACAGCATTGTGCAGAAGAATAAATACCCCCTTATTTACAACAAACATAAACTTTCTTTGGGTTGAACTGAGCACAACTGTACACAATATTGCAGCACATATTGGAACTGAACCAACATACATACACAGGTCTGTAAATCATTAATGAAACTGTTCAATTTAGAAGATATTTTCATTAAAATAAAGATTTCAACTTTTTTTTTTTTTATAAAATTAGCTTGCAAGATTTTGACAACTAGTTCAACATTTTTGTACGTAATGACTCAAGTAATGAAATGAAGACTATTAGTTTTATATGAAATGACTATTCAGCATTCACAAGTTTAGTTAATTTTGACTGACATGACATAAGCAAATGATAATGTTATAAACAGTAGAGAGTTGTAAGCAATTGATGCATGTCCGAAAGCATTTGCAATTTGCTGAAAGGAATGAGAAACTGCTACTAGGATGTGCACAAATGACTAATTGTTTTGAGAAATGCATGACCTGTTGTGCAAATGTAAATAGTGTTGTGAGAAATGCACCAAAGTGACTGAGAAAAACTGTAACTTCCTTTAGGTGGAGCTGTGTACAACTGTAAACAATATTGCAGAACATATTGGAACTGAACCTACAACATACACAGGCCTGTAAATCATTCATGAAATTGTTCAGTTTTTAAGACATTTTCAGGTAAATAAATATTTATTTTTTCTTATAAAATTATCTTGACAGATTTTGACAACTAGTTCAACTTTTTTTGTATATAATGACTCAAGTAATGAAATGAGGACTATTAGTTTTATATGGAATGAATATTCAGCATTTACAAGTTTAGTTAATTTTGACTGACATGACATAAGCAAATGATAATGTTATAAATAGCAGAAAGTTGTATGAAAGCAATTAATGCATGTTCAAACGCATCTGCAATGTGTTGGAAGGAATGAGAAACTGCTACTAGGATGTTCACAAATGACTAATTGTTTTGAGAAATGCATTAACTGTTGTGCAAATGTAAATAGTGTTGTGAGAAATGTACCAAAGCGACTGAGAAACACTGTAATAAGCAGCAAATAAGTACTTTATGGAGCCTTAGTTAATGATTTGTTATCTTTAGCAATGGATCTCCACCACCACAGCACAAGAAAATCACAATACACTTTAAGTTTCATAGCTGATTTTAGGAAACTGATTTCGACATTATTTTATTAATTTGTAAAGCACTACTTGGTCTTGCATCAGACTGTAGAGCTGTAAGTTTTTTTTTTTGTAGCTGTTAACATTTGTAGAGCTAAAAGATTTAATGGTTTTAAGCTCCTAGAGCAAGTGAAAGATACAAAATATTTATATTTTTAAATATAAATGACAAATCTTCTAAAACATGAAGTGTCTTCAAAGTATTTGTTTATTTTATATATAATTCCATTTTCCTTGATCATAATGTCATTATTGGTTTCAATCCATTGTAAGAGTTGTAAGAGCTGTTTTATTCTGAATAATTTTAGCATTGTCTTCATTTACTTCACTGTAAAAAATTATTTAAGCATTTAGTCATGACAGCATGTTTTTAGTTCATTGTAACTTATTAAACTAAGTTAATCATGTTCTAACTTAATTTAATAAGTTATGCAAGCTGTCTTAATTCATGTTAACATAGTATAAGTTCAATGGACTCATAAGGTTAATTTGAACCAGGATTTTTTTTACAGTGCTGTATTTTCTTCAGTGGTGTATACACCTGTAAAGCACTTACAATGTTTAGTCTGATTGATCGATTGATTATTGGTAATAAGATAAAAAATATAAAGAATAATTTGCAACAACTGACTCCTTCAAACTGTATTCATTCACAGTGACTTATTATGACAACTTAAATAGTTAATGATAATTTTCAATGTCAAAATAAAACATGTTTCATGATTTGATGCAAGTTGTTGAAACATCAATAAACTAAGAAATTAATTAATTAAATTTTTTAATTACCACATTGCATATCAACTAAAATAGAAAGAACAGAAAATATTGTAACTATTAATTTTGGGCCATGTCAACTCTATCAAATCTGTCATAACAGTTGCTGAATCACCAGTAACTGTCATCAGACGTATTTACAGAAGCTCAATTTATCAAGGAAAAGGCCATCTCAAAATTAACATATACTTACACTTAAAACTTGTTTGTGTAGAAACCAAAAAATTAATTACACATTATCAGCTTGACATAAAAGTGCTCAGACATGTTTACCTCCATCAAGCAGCTTGCGGGCACATAGGAACTCTTTACATCGGCAGGCGGTGTAGAGAGGGGTCCCCATGTGAGGGATTTCAAAGTCCACATCCACACCCCATGAAACCAGCATCTCCACACACTTGCTGTGGCCTAAATGAGACCATAAAACCATGTCAAATTAAGTGCTATAATCAAGTCTCCAGTGCATCTACCAAACCAAAAAATGTGAAAAAGAACAACACAGAAATATATTTTGGTAAGCCTTTCTCTGCAAGCATGAGGACGAATTTACTCTTTAGATTTGGCTCTCCTAATCATGCGCGAAGGGGGTCTTATTACAATTAAACATTTTCTTATTACAACTGAATCCACTTACAATTGAATTAAATTTATTAATTTTTTTAAAGGAAATGTCCCGAAGAATGCTGGTAAAATGTATATTTGTCTTTTTCTGTTTCTGAAACTTATCTTCATGCCATCATTTTGTCCGCCTTGTCATCCTGTTTGCCTGGTTGGTCACTCACAACAAATGATATCTTGGAGCTAATAGCTAGACTGTACAATAAAGCCTATAAGATCCATGATAGACTTTCTGGATGGACACATCATTGCTTTGCTCTATCACTCTCTAGTGCTTTATCATTTCAGAATTACACCAGGAACACAGGGATTAAACCATCAAATTTTAAATAGTGCTATTTCAGCAGCCCTTTGTGCTTTGGCAATAAAACTTCATATAAGGACCGATCATTCCACCAGATCTGCAACAAATGGATGTTTGCCGCTACTGGCTTTTAAAAACTGCTATGGACAGAATATATTTAATGCTGCTCACTGAACAGCTTCACCAAGGTCAGTTTAATACAGTTTAACACTGTTTCTGAAGAATGAGCAGTACTTTTTATCAGTTTATAAACGGAGAATGTTTCCAATTTTCACTTACTGGATTCACAGAGACCAGAGCTACTGTACATGGTTATTCTAACACAGTCTGTGTAACTCATAAATGCACATTTCTAATGCATTGTATATGCACTGTTAATATAATCCCATGGCAAATTGTAACATTTTAGAGTCTAATTCATATGAATTTGTCCAATCTCATTTAAGGATGATGGATGAGTTTAGGGGTGGGGTTTGGGGACACGCCTCGTTTAAAAAATTGTGCATTTTCATATGTATGAAATCATATGAATTTATAGTAATTAGCCACTTTTTCTGACAATATGTAAATAGTTTCCTCTTGTGATCAGGCTGTCACTGTTCTGGAAAGCAGCAGCAGTTTATCCACAATTGTTGCTAAAAGGGATACAACTCTGATATGAAATCAATTAGAATTATTCATATTATTTATTAAATTATCTATAACATTGATTTTATTACTGTCAACCCCAACCCTAAACCTACCTCTCACAGTAATGTAAAAATAGTTATTATTGCTGTACACTGTCGCAAACATTATGTTATATTGATGTGCACATGTAAAATATCCACAGCTGTATCCCTTTTAGATTTTACCCTTGTTTGCATTTAATAGGACACACAAAAATGCAGTGTTTTTGCAGTATTCAGGGGTAAATTTGACATGCTATAATAAATATAATAAATAAATAAATCTGTGGTAATTTTGAGTTGAAACTTCACACACTCAAGTGCTGCATGTTTTTTTTTAAGTTTTAAAAACAAGTTTTTAAAAATTTTTTGACACACTGAATTATTATGGACAACTTAATTATTTTATTTTCAATCCACTAATATTTGTAAAAATTATTAAGTTAACTTAATTGATTTGTGTTGGGACAACATGATGCCATTGTGTGGAACCCAGCATTTTTTCTACAGTGCAGACAAATTCTGGAGACATCTGAGATTTATTTGACATTTTATGAAAAGGGGCATAATACTGTACGTCTCCTTCAAAAACTTTTGAGTGTCTATTAGGCAAGCAGCTCATTGTGATTTGTGCAGACCTTCGCAAGGTTCCACTGCCAGTCTCATACCTACCCCTGCTGGCTGCCTCATGGATGGGTGAAGGCTGGAATATGGCCAGGGCTTGTGGTCTGGCATCGCTCTGCAAAAGCAGCTCTAGACATGCCAAACTGCCAGCAGAACAGGCACGAAACAATGGAGTCACTCCATCTATAGCTGTCACATTCACCTGAACACACAGATAGAAAATAAAACACTGACAATAAAACATGACTCACAAAATTTGACACAAAAATCACAAGAAGAAAATTCATTTTTTGAAAGTGTTGTATATCTCACATTTTATACTGAGATAAGAGATTATCAAATTGAATGTGGTAAAACTGGGGACTGTTTACCATTTAAATATAATATAATATAATATAATATAATATAATATAATATTTAAAAGTAAAAGATACAATCTTAAAAAATCTATGACTTTTTAAAATAGAAATTATTAGTATTTTATGGAAGCCTATTTCTATTACAGAGTATATACAGGAAACAAAGAATACAATTCAATACATTTTAACACCTTTTTAAAAACTCTTTCCACACATTTTAACCCCTGATGTCCACTTTAGGTTTTTACCAGAAACACTGGCGAGATTTTAACTTAAAGTATATTTACTATACATTAATGTAAGAAACAAATAAAATCTAAAACATTATTCATATGCTGAATAAAAATCGATTAAATCTACCTAATTCAGCAGGTTGGCGCCTATAGTTACTGCAGTAAACAAAGCAGCATGTCAAATCTAGCAGGATTTTATTGATTTCATAAACTACACAGCATCCTGATATTCACGGTTTCAATTCAGGCAAACTTTAGCATACAACTATACATTTTATAATAAAAAATTATTTAAAATTTGAATGCATTTAAGACTTTTAATACTTTTTAAGGACCTTAAATGTCTCTACATTGATTTATAAACTTCTAATACTTTTTAAGACCCTACAGACATCCCGTGTTACAAGAAAAAAAACTGTGTAGAAAGTGAGAAAAGTCAGAATTCTGAAAAATTTACTGAGAAATAAATTATTTATAATTTAAAACATCTGACTTTTAGGTAAAAAAAATCTGAATTAGCATTTGTACTTCAACATGTTGGGTTTTCTTTTTTGGTTTAAAAAAAAATAGATGAAATAAATGAAAACATTAAATGTATGTAACATTAATTATTAAAATATATGTATTAATTATCATGAAATATATGTCCTTTTATATTTGAAATACTATATTTTTTATTGTGATTTAAAATATCATGTATTAACAAACATAACTCTAAAAAAATAAATAAACAGAGTTTCACTGACAAAGGAAATATTTCAGTTTTACTGTTATAAAAGCTATAGCAAATACATACAACAGATCAAATAAATTACAAAATATATTTATTAATAATTATTAAAAAACTGTTATTTTATTTTATTACATTGCACTAAAAAAATGATTGATTGGATTTACTAATTTTTATTAAGGTAAGTGGTAGCAAACAATTTACATGGGCTGAAAATAAACAAACAAATTAAGTAATTAATTAAGTAATTAATGTTTAAATTCAGGCGACATGGTGGCTCAGTGGTTAGCAATGTTGCCTCACAGCAGGGTCGTTGGTTCCTGTCTGGGCCAGATGAGTTCTGTCTGGAGTTTGCATGTTCTCCCCGAGTTGACGTGGGTTTCCTCAGGGTGATCCGTTGTCCCCCACAGTCCAAAGACATGCAGTACAGGTGAATTGAATAAGGTAAACTGGCCGTAGTGAATAAGTGTGTGAATGAGAGTGTATGGGTGCTTCCCAGTACTGGGTTGCAGCTGAAAGGGCATCAGCGGAATAAAACATATGGTGGATAAGTTGGTGGTTCATTCTGCTGTGGCGACCCCTGATGAATAAAGGGACTAAGCCGAAGGAAAATTAATGAATGTTTAAATTCAGCCCATATAAAATGTTTGCAACCACTTACCACTTACAAAAATTTGTAAATTCAATCAATAGTTTTTTTCAGTGTGTAAAAATTTAAAAACATATTTAAAATATAATTTAAGAAAATAAATGAACAGATATTTTAATATAGCAAATAACAAATGTGCACCTTTTACTGTTAAAATGTTCAAAATAAAACAAAACAAAAATTGAAACTAAAATAAAAATAAATTACAAATAAAAAAGCCTAGGCCATTGCTAATCAAGACCTGTGAAATGAAAGTGTTACCAATCAGCCGTGCAGAGACTAACGTTGGCTCCAGCATCTACCAGCGCTCTGGCACAGGCAACATGGCCCCCTATGCAGGCCTCATGAAGAGGGCTAATGTGGTCTATCGTCAGCACATTCACACTGTGGCCCTGAGGACACATTAACATAATATTCATTTACTCACTGATGTGCAGGATCTTTGTTTTCCACATGATGGCAGCAATGCCCCTTCACTAATGTATGATGGACTGCAGCATTCAATTCTACACCAAATATGTATTTCATTGCTCATCCAGCAGAGAGCATGATATTATTAATACTGCGCATATTACAGATGTCTTATCTTACAGTTCAAGAAAAGGTCATTTAAATGAGAGATTGCCTGAGCAATGAGGGTCTTGAGGGCCAGCAGACGTCCTTGGCTTGCAGCATCATGTAGAGCCGATCGGTCTGCCCAAGACCCTGAAACACAATAAAAACAGTCATTTATCAAAAAGAAAAATCAAGAATTGAAATTAAAAGAATATTTGGTTTAAAAATCTAAAGAAAATCAAGAGGAAATGCTTCTGTTTAATGTTTTTTGTCATTGATTATTTTTATGTCAGTACTTTACTTTTTATATTAAATATTAAAAGTAAATAATAAATAATTATTTTGTTTTATTACTTTTCCTGTCAAATTACATTCATTCATTTTTCTTCGGCTTACTTTTCCAGCGTGTGTTTTATGCAGCGGTTGGCTTTCCAGCCACAACCCATCACTGGGAAACAACTATTAACTCTCACATGCACTCATACACAACAACAAATTTTTGTTCACCCAATTCACCTATAGCACACGTCTTTGAACTGTGGGGGAAACCAGAGCATCTGGAGAAAATCCTCACAAACACGGGGAGAACATGCAAACTCCACACAAAAATGCCAACTGGTCCAGCCAGGACTCGAACCAGTGACCTTCTTGCTGTGAGGCAACAGTGCTAACCACTGAACCACTTCAAATAACACATCCAATTTATTTTAGAGAAATAATAACAATATCTTAATACAGTGATATTTTATCCAAGGGTATCATGTGATTAAAATCTTCTACCGGCCCATCCAGCTCATAATAAATTCTTTACAATTTCAGTTTACAGTTGTGTAACTTCACTATTACTTTACTTTTCTTCTTCTTGGAAAGTGTTTGTATTCTAGACATGTTAACAATTCTAAATTTTATCTCCTTGAATTTTACAAGCCCTTTACTGATTCCTGACCTCCAGTAAGAGGTTTTGGTAAGAGTGTTTTGAACTGATCTCACTGGTGTTTTCTAGGCAATGCAGTAGTCTGTGTATTTGTCAGGTTTGTGCATCATCGGAGACCCGTTTAATTTTGACGGAAACATTTGTTTTTGAGCTGGAAGCTGGTGTATAGTTGTGAGATTTCGTCTATACTGTAGTTGTGAGAACATTGTGAATTGTTTCATGATTTGTGTGTTAGCGATTGAGAAAACCATGAAAGTTCCTACAGGTGTTAATTATATATATATATATATATATATATATATATATATATATATATATATATATATAAAACTTATTTTATGACATTCACTGTTTCTATCACATTGTATTTTCAGCATAAAACAAACTAAAATATGCCCTATTTTAAAGCCTATATAAAATGTTTAAATATATAAAAGCATTTTTCATAACTTTACTACACAATACACAGTATTTTTATATACTGTATTTTAGAATAATATATCTATTATTCATTTAATACATGTATGTTTTGCTATGAAATTACTTAATATAAACAATATTATACTATTTTAAAAGCATTAGATTTTTCCATTTAAATTTGTTTAAATAAATGTTTGTTATTCATTTAGTCATTATAATGTTTTATCAGACATTAGCAAAATGTAATTCTATGTATATATACATATATTTAACTGAACTGTAGCAGATTGTCTTGACCATGTCTGATTGGATGCTGCCATGTGATTGGACATGTATACCAAATAAAGAAGTTGGAAAGGTGTACCTAATACAGCGTATCTAATAATAAAGTGGCTGGTGAGTGTTTATATATAACAACTAAGGATTTATATATATATATATATATATATATATATATATATATATATATATATATATACACACACACACACACACACACACACACACACACACACACACACACACACACACACACACACACACACACACACACACACACACACACACACACACAGTTGAAGTCAGAATTATTAGCCCTCCTTTGTATTTTCTTTTTCTAATATTTCCCAAATGATGTTTCCCAAATGAAATTTTCCACAGTGTGTCTGAAAATATTTTTTCTTCTAGAGAAAGTCTTATTTATTTTATTTTGGCTAGAATAAAAGCAGTTTCTATTTTTTTTTAACTATTTTAAGGTCAAAATTATTAGCCCTTTTAAGCTATTTGTTTTTTCGATAGTCTACAGAACAAACCATCGTTATACAATAACTTGCTTATAACTTAACCTAGTTAAGCCTTTAAATGGCACTTTAAGCTATATAAAAGTGCCTTGAAAATAAAACTTTACGTACTGTCATCATGGCAAAGATAAAAGAAATCAGTTATTAGAAATGAGGTATTAAAACGATTATGTTTAGAAATGGTTGAAAAAATCTTCTCTTCATTAAACAGAAATTGGGGAAAAAATAAAAATGGGGCTAATTATTCAGGGGGGCTAATAATACTGACTTTATTTGTATATTGTTATTTATTTTGAAGATGTAAATGGTATTTTGTATTCGGGATGCACACAATACACCACCATCACAAAAAGCTGATATTTGCACACACCTGAGTCAATATCCAGTATGACAGCTGATGCGTTCCACACATCATCATCATCATCGTGACCTCCCTTCATCACAAACTACAGTAAAACCTTCAAAACACAACCAGAACAAACTTCCCTGAAAAACCACTTCACAAACCTCCACCTTTCAATGTCCCTTCTTAGTTTTTATCCTCACAATCAAAAACAATCAATCTAAGAATCCACTTTTTTTCTTCTTTTTTCCACACTCAAGATATTGCAAGTCAATCCACGTACGCACGAATCATATCAAAGCACCAACCTTGGCTGGTTAACCAGCTCAGCAAGACTTCCACTTTGACAAAGCTTGTGTCCCTTCAGGAAAATGTTTCCTCCTTATATCATTCTCTTCAAAAAAAAAAAAAAAAGGCCTTAAAAGAAGAGTCACTGAAGCTGTCTGGGTTTTTTTATATCTGCACTGCCCTACTTAAGTTGCTTAGTAAATGCCAGACTATGGCAATCCCCTGTGACTGTTCCTCTCGCCCTGATCTTAAACTCGGAGAAGCTGTTTTCTGAGATGCTCCGCGAGACAACTTGTTTACACCAAAGCCTTCTCTGCTGTTTATAAGGCCCGGCTGCACCGTTCAGGATCCTGTAGACGAGCGTCTGCCTTCACAAATGCTTGATAGACTGACGGTGACTGTGATTTTTGTTGTTGTTGTTGTATAGTTAAAAAGGGGGAGGGGGTGCATGGCCTCAATTCTATTTATACAACACTGTAAACAGCAGCCTGGCAGCCATTCCTGGATTTGCGTCGCATGCAAGCATATTTAGAGTATGTGTGTGCTTGATGTTGTATGTGTGGTAATATGATTGTAGGATGCCTGCTGTGACGCAAAACACACAAAAGTGAATCTTAAAGAGCACGCTTTAGGAATGCATATGAAGAGCTGTCCTGAAAGTGTGTTTAAAATAGTATGAAGCAGAATTGGAATCACTGTTGTGGTTCTTGTCACATGCAGTGACAGGTATTATGGTTACGCTGCAGGAAAACCATTGTGCAGTAATAGCATTCCCCATGCTCCATATACAGTATACAGCTATGGGGGAAATGAAGAGGCCACTTGAATATTTCTGTTTCTCTGGATTTATTGGATTTTTTTTATGTTGGTTTGAGGAAAATGTTAATATTTTTTGTTGTATGAAGGTGTGATAATGTTTCTTTCAAATTTTATATAAAAATATTGCCATTTCGAGCCTTTATTTTCAGAAACAAAGTCATTTGTAACTTTATTGGATATATTATGGCATGGGAACATTTTTTCCATGGAAAATGTTACTATTTATTTTGTTGTATGAAGATGTAGTAATGCTTCCTTTAAATTTCAGATATAAATATTGTCTTTTTTGGCAAATGACAGTTAGTCAGAATAACAAATACTTTAATTTGTTGTGATTGTAAATCAGAGTTATTCTACCAAATTTTGAGTTAAGTACATTGATTGTGTTGTGTTGTCTAAAAATTAACATCTTAAAACATTTTCTTAAATGGTGCAAAAAACTCAATTCAGTTATGTGTTTGATTAAAACTTTTAGTTTTTTCTGTGACCATATTCACTACAAATTTCAAATAAAAATCTTTGAGATTGAAAATCATTGAGAGCCTTTTCATTAAATAAAGTACAAAAAGCCTCATGTTTTCAAACACGTTTATCTTCATTGTAGACAAGCCATGTTTGAATTTCAGAATAGTTAGGAAACCAATATTTAGCAACCCTGATTTACAGTCACAACAATTGCAAATATCTGTTGTTCTATTCAATTTTTTCAATTTAAACGGCACCTATGATGAAAATCTTTTGGAAGCTGTTCGGATAGAACAAGGTATAGTGTAGGTATAGTATGTCTACAGTCATATTGGGGTGATATAAAGACAATTAATCCTTACCATTTTGAGGCCCACCGCAATTGATTGACAGCCACGTATCAACATGTCTCTGTAGTAACACGTATAATCATATCAGTAAGACAATATGTGCACAAAGCAACTGGGATTAAAAGATCTGTTCAGCTGTTCAGCTAAGTTTAAAAACATTTTTTTAAATAGTGCATGTCTGTAATGAATTATAGCAATTTTAGCATGTTTTCTTTATCACCACAGCCGCATGTCAGAACAATTTTAAAAGAAAATGCTTCAATCCCAGTTTGTGGATGATAAATAAGGTTAATTTTGTATATTAACATAAATATCCATACAGCAGTGGATATTAATGTGTATTCTGTCACATTTGCCATGCAAAAGTTATGCACGCACTGTGTGTGTGTGTGTGTGTGTGTGTGTGTGTGTGTGTTTGCACAAACTTTGTAATGAAATTGTGTGTGACTCATCGTTGCAGAAAGGCTTGAATTAACTCCACAACAAATACATCAAATAATCATTGGGAAAGTTCTTACTGTGGTATTTCTCACAAACAATAAGTGAGATCTGCTTTCTTCATGTCTGTCACTGTGCTGTTTATCTGATGCAGCTGATCTGATTGGTACACTCTGACAGGCACGTGGGAATGGTGGGAAGGTAGAATTAAAGGCACAGGCAACAAAAACAATGTATTCAGAGTAAAACATTCCAATATTCTGAGAGCTATAATAAATAATCTGATGGGGGTTTTGTTTTTTGGAGACACAAAAGACTTATCTTAAATCTTGGAAAAAGGGTAAAATAGGTGCCCTTTAAATCTATTTTTGTTTTACTTTACTAAATAAACACTATCAGACCTTTGTAGAACAAGCATTAACATTTTATTAAAACTCACACCTAACCAAGCCAGTAAATCCAGATAATTGTCAAGCGGTCTCCCAATTCTTTTGATAGCTGTATATCCATGCAAACAGGCCCAAACATTGGCAACTGAACATTAAATCCACACTCCTGCTGTGCGAGTGTTGGGCAGTGATGTAAGTGCACACATGCTCTACTTACCGTGCCCTTGACCATTGTCATAGAACTCAGCTGAAATCCGGGCAGCCTCCTTGCGGTTGCCTTTGATGATGTAGAAATGTGTGAGGAGATTAAGTGTAATTCTAACGAAAAGTTTGAAGCAGAAGAGCGACAGGATGGTGAGGTAAACATTGGACAGCTGTGCTGCGAATGGCCTGTACTCCTCTGTGGACTCTGTCATGGCTGTGTTTTGTGGCAGGATTAGCAGTGAGCGCTGGTGTATCTTATGTCACCCACAACAGCACCCCCAATGCACTTGGGTCCTTACTGCAGCTCAGGATTTGGATATCAAAAAGAGATATTTGGGGAATAGAAAAGTCTGTATGAATTCAGGGATATCACATAAATGCTGTGATTTTGTTGGTTGTGTAGTATAAAGAATATTAAATAAGTTTATATACAAAATGTCTAGTGCAAAAAATAACATGTCCAATGTTTATTATTTGGGTTGAAAGTAAAACAACAATGTAACACAGCTCTATTCTTACATTCAGTTGTGTCATATACATTTTTTCTGAGCATAAAAGGTCTATAAAAGGTAAGCTCCTAAGAACACTTAACTTAAATTTTTACTTTAAATTTGGGACGCTAAATAGGATTATGATGTCATGTGTGCTTCTAGTACAATACATTTAAAAAGTACAACTTATTTACTTGGCGACATAGTGACACAGTATAGTGCTGTCGCCTCACAGCAAGAAGGTCGCTGGTTCGAGCCTCGGTGGGGTCAGTTGGCGTTTCTGTGTGGAGTTTGCATGTTCTCCTTGCATTCGTATGGATTTCTTCCATGTGCTCTGGTTTCCCCCCCAGTCCAAAGACACGCGGTACAGGTGAATAGGGTAAGCTAAATTTTCCGTAATGAGTGTGTATGAATGTTTCCCAGAGACGAATTGCAGCTGGAAGTGCATATTCTGCCTAAAACATATGCTGAATAAGTTGGTGGTTCATTCTGCTGTGGCAACCCAGATTAATAAAGGGACTAAGCCGAAAAGAAAATGAATGAATTGTTAATAATTAAGTGAGATGCATATTCTTGTACTAAGTTTGTACAAATTTACAATGAAAAAAGCTTTTATATTTTACAGTAAGACAATCAGTTTCAGTTTATCAGATGATAAATTACATACTGTGCATTCAGGGTGAAGTTCATTTCTAACATGAAAATTTTATTGCCAAAACATCTACAAGAACAGAGAGATGAAACATCGTAACATGACAAGTTTCATTTTTTTTTTTTTTTTACATTTATTGTATAACAGAAAGATACATTTGGTACACATCATTTACAATAATAACCATTACATTATTTACAATGGTGTCAATAAAGAATGAAAAAGACGAAAAAAATAAGAGAAAAAAATAAAACCAAACAAAAAAAAAATCAAACAAAAAACAAAGAAATGTCAATAGGTTAACTGATCAGAGGATAGACACAAAATAGATAAAGAAACTGAGAGTGAAGAGGGCAAAATAAGACTTTTTATAGATTTATTAGATTTCCTATACATATTCAGGCCCATAGCCAGCCTGTTAAAAGGGGTGGTTCTTTTTTCTCAAAAAGTGGACGTTTTTGTATTTATTTGTCTCAATTTATGTGGTTAAAATACTGCATTTCAGTTACAGTTTAGCCCCTAATTTGTGCTGGAGTATTTTGTTGGATGGTTATCATTACCGCGTTTGACTTCCTACATTTTTGTCAAAGTGTTTATCATACCATCTTTTTGTTTACAAAATTGCATGTTTCTTTACAAATGTGCATTTAAACTGTATAAGTCATTACAATTTAAAATATAATATAATAAGATTAGAATTTTAGAAATCTAAAAAAAAAAAGAAAAAATACTTATTTTTTAAATGCTAATTTATTATAATCCATCATAAAAAAACTAACAAAAACAATAAAAAATAAGCAAATCTAATAAAAAATTTAAAAATTTGCAAAAAATAAAAATAAAAATTAGCAATCTGTTAATACTTGAATACTTCATCTGTTAAAACTTGTTTTAAATGAAAAACTGTAGCCTATATGCAAATAACAAACTGTCCAACTTATTTCCTCAATCAGAATTTGTCAATTTAAAAAATAAATGTCTTCTTTTATTGGTTATTTTGTTGGTTATTCTTCTTAAAGCCTTCTTCCATTGGTTATTTTCACAATTTATGAAGGCATGCTGTCAAAGATGGGACAAATGAGCTCATATAGAGGCCACGTTAAAATGTTGATAATCATTTTAAAAATGAGTATCCTTACTTATAAGGAAACACTTTTGCTATATGGACCATATACTTTCCCTGTTTAAATTATCAAAAATACTGTTACAATGTGAGAGCAGGAGGGGTAGAGAGTATTTTCAAGGAACAGCTGCTCTTAATTTATAGTTTTTATTTTTCTTTATAACAAACACATTTCACCAAATATAGGTATTAACTGATTCTGGATTAGTAACGGTTCCTAGTAATACTATATTGTTTTTAAAAAGCATGTAAACAACAAGTTTCAGAAATGTCATTTTTTTACGTCATGACGTCTGCAGTTACGAGTCATTGGCGCATGCGTATTTGCGCAGATTTAAATTACTGATCTGGCGGGCTCAGCTCAGCGACTGCTCACTTCTCGTTGGGTTTTGGAATGCTAGCGATCTTTTTAATATCAGATTATATTTTGCTTTTTAGTTTGCTTGTAAAGACACTTAACTACAGCAGGTCGTGATGGTCGAAGGTCCAGGATGCACTTTGAACGGAGAGAAGATTCGTGCAAGAGTTCAAAAGAGACAGAAAGTTTTACACATACAAGGAAACGAAACCAAAACAACAGTAAGTTTAGAGCATGGTAGCTAAGCTGATGATACAGATCAATGATATGCATCTGGATGTTACGTGTTTTCTTTCTTTCAGTCAGATGACGGCAGCAGAAGCTCTTTCCAGAGTTTTAAGGGCGGTGAGTTCACAGGTGTGGAGACTCTGGGGAAAGAGCTCTTCATGTATTTTGGAGTCAGAGCTCTGAGGTGAGTAGAAAACACACATTAGTTCTTCTTTGCTGTGTGTTTAAAAATTATCATTTTATGTCGTGATTTGTTGATTGTCATGGTCTAACGGAGTTTTCTCCATCAGGGAGATTGATTTTCGTTTTTTTGGCTTGCTTCCCAGAGCCCTGTTTAAATCTGAAAGACACCAAAGTCATGAAAATTAGCTTATGATTGGCAATACAGGGCTGATTGTAAAAAAGGCATATAAAGGGTAACAGTATAGAAATGAGGACAATTAAATATAGCATTGTGAGTATTAATCTAATGAAAGCGTATGTAAATACAATCACCGGCCACTTTATTAGGTACAACTGCTAGTAAATGCAAATTTCTAAGTTAATCAGACAATCACATGACAGCAATTCAATGCATGTAGGCATGGTCAAGACGATCTGCTGCTGTTCAAACCTAGCATCAGAATGGGGAAGAAAGGTGTGTTAAGTAACTTTTAATGTGGCGTGGTTTTTTGTGCCAGGCGGGCTGGTCTAAGTATTTAAAAAACTGCTGATCTACTGGGATTTTCATGCACAACCATCTCTAGGGTTTACAGAGAATGCTCTGAAAAAGTTCTAGGCATGCAAATCCTTTGTTGATGTCAAAGGAGAAGGGCCATACTGGAAAGGCAACAGTAACTTAAATACTGTCTGTAGTCAACCGAGATATGTTTACTGTCGTTACAACCGAGATATGCAGAAGCGCATCTCTGAATGTACAACACATCTAACCTTGAGTCGGATTAGCTACAGCAGCAGAAGACCACAGGTGGGTGCCATCTGTCAGCTAAGAACAGGAAACTGAGGCTACAATGCACACAGGCTTACCAAAATTAGACGATAAAAGATTGGAAAAGTGTTGGTCTGGTCTGATAAGTCTCAATTACTGCTGCAACATTTAGATGGTAGGGTCAGAATTTGGCATCAACAATGTGAAATCATGGATCCATCCTTCAAGTGGTGGTAGTGTAATGGTGTCAGGGATATTTTCTTGGCACACTTTGGGCCATCTTCTGATGGCTGTGTCCAGCAGGATAACACACCATGTCATAAAGCGCAATCATCTTAAACTGTTCTTGAACATGAAAATGAGTTCACTGTACTCACTGTACTCAAACAGCCTCCACAGTCACCAGGTCTCAATCCAATACAGCACCTTTGGAATCTCTGAGGAATATTTCCAGTAGCTTGTTGAATCTATGCCACGAAGGATGAGGACTGTATTGAAGGCAAAAGGGGGTCCAACCCAGTACTAGTAAGATGTACCTAATAAAGTGGCCGGTGATCGTATATAAATGAATAAGTAATTAGCAAAATCTTGCTATACATTAAATACAAAAGTTCTTGTTGAGAAATGGGTAAAAGCTAGGAGTTTAAAGGATGGTGGCAAAGTGTAAATCTTTAAAATGACAGCCTTTTGGGGATGTGCTGGGATTATTTTTTAAATATCTTATCAGATTAAAAATGTTTTGCTATGTAAACTCTTGTAAATCTGTGACACTGAAGAGCATTTTCAGTCAAAATTAATGTAAACTATGATAATCATTAGTTCTGCTATTTCAGAACTGCAACAGAACAACAGTTCTGCTATTGATGGAATGGAATACAGGGTTTTTAAGACTTTCAGAACTTCAGAATTATTAATACCTGCTACAGTATATTAAGTAACTGCAGTCATTTTTTGTTATGTTGTGCTCTGCAATGTGTCATTAGCTAGATTCTCTCTGTGACTGATTTCTGAGCTGACTTTGCTCGCTAGCAAGCAGGAGAGATTAGCAGCAGTATTCCTTTGAGAGTAACTGTCTGCGTGATTGATAATATGGCAGATGTTACTAGCTAATATCTTTCATCTGGGGCTCAAAGTGCTGTTTTGAAACTAAGTGATTGTTATTTGACATTCAAATGCAAATTTATACTGTCTGTCTGTCTGTCTTTCTCTGAAGTGTATGTTGCAGTGCATGCATTTTTTCCCTGTGTACTTCACATGAAGGCTTTCATAGCTCTATTTAGAAATCATTTTATTTTAGAATGATTGTGGGGATTTTGTTAGGAAGTACATACGCAGATAATAACTAAATTATAAGCATAGACAAATAGAGCAAAGATGCAAATGAAATAAACAGTGCTTTAAGGGATAGTTCATCCAAAAATAAATACAAATTCCTCACAAATTAGTGGAATGTCAGAAACTGGTAACCATTTCCATAGTGTTAGTTTCTTCTATGTATGTCAATAGTTATTGGTTCCTAACATCTTTTTTGTATTAAAAAAAAAGAAACAAACAAACAAATAGGGGTTTAAATCTGCTTGAAGTTATGTAAATGCTGAGTAAACGTAATCTTTTTGGTGAACTATAAGCTGTAATGAGCAATTCACTGCAAATGTCAACCTTGCTGTAAACAAAACGTTTTTACCAAAACAGCGAAAGCCTATCAAAGTGTTTTTGTGTAGACTTGTATTTTACTGCAAAAATGTTCAAAAATGTCTGCCTGACATTTGTCTCTGTTTGTCAGACAATGTCTCTATTTTCAAACAATTATATTTGATTTACCAAAGTAACACAAGTGCCAATTTCAAATCTGTCACATCCATAACAGAGAGACGTCACATCCAGAACAAAGCTTTTCTCTCATAATTGCAAAAAATATGAAACAAAATCAAACATTTTTGTTCTATAGTGAGCCAACTCTTATCTTTTTGGTTATATTTAAAATATAAACTGTTATGGTGTTTTTCTGATCTCATACAACCACTCTGTGGTTTGTAGTTTTGAAAAATATGAACATGGTTCACTATTATGTTAATTTATACAGGGTTCAACGCTAAGGACTTTTTCTACTGGTCCGATCAAGCCAGTGGTTCAGATTTTTACTTGCCCTGCTAAAATTTTCACTGGCCCCACTAAAAAAAAAAACAAGAAAAAAAAAGACAAGTTAATAGCTATTTTTAGCCACATATTTTAAATAATGTGTCAAAATATGTCTGTGAATCTAGAATGTCAATACTTTAAAAAATGTTGATAAATGTGTAATGAGCAAAATTCTAAGCGTTATGCAAAAAAAAAAAAAGTATGGAAAATGTGCAGATATGTGTTTGCAGTTCAAATTTATTTAACAAAAGTTGGTTGACTTGTTAAACTGACGGCAAATTGTGCAAAACATTACTTCATTTTTCTTTTTTTTTCTTTTTGTCGTGCTGTCCCCATGTAAATGTCTGCTTCCAAGACATTAGAAACACACATTTTCTTTTAGCCTTATAATGTGATGTTGCCGCCATGTTGCCATTTCTTCGCTGTACTAGTTGTTACCAGGTTACGGGAAAAAAAAATACATGTTCAATACATCAAATCAGATAAGAGGAACCGAAAAACAATATGATGTTTACGATATCACAGAGAGGTAGCATTTAAAAACTTAAAAGCACTAGCTTAAAATGCACACAATTGATAAATAGTCGCAGACAAATTAAACTTTGTGACAAAGCAGCACTGTCCCAATCAAGCCTGTAATAATTCCTGTCTACTGTCCCAAGCGTCTCTCATGCTGGCCCTAGGCCATCGGTCAGTCCTTATTGTTGAGCCCTGTTATACTTTCTCTGTGAATTAATGTTTTAATTTTTTACTACAAATGTCAAATCCATAACGCTGGAATTGCTCTAATGTTGCAGTAATGAAGGATGATTTAAACTTGCTAGGCATGCTAAACAGTGGCACATGCATTTAATAAATCTTGTCCATGTTACGAATGAACTAAACTTTTCAGTTAATTCTCAAACCTGGTCAACTATGATCCCTACATGACATCATGCATCCATAAATGTGACGATTACAAATGCGCACATAACAATGTCAATGCTGAAAAGATTATATCAAGTGTCCCTACTCACTTCATGTATGTTTTGTTTTAGATTACACTTCGGCATGAATGGCTCTATGAGGATAAACCCTCTTAAGAAAGACTTGCATGGAAAGCCTCCAGTCCTTGTTATTCAGCTTACCAACGATGCCATTTGTTTCTTTGACACAACTGTGGAAATCAGGTAAAATTCCTTTTAATAGCTCAGACTATCAATATTCTTGATATAAATGTTAGATTTAATCCCGGATCCGGTTGCGTCATCATTGAAAGTCTTTCCAAGTCATGCATTTTATCCTAATGTGCAATCTTCATGAGGTCAGCTCATCAAGTCGGCAACTTCCCAACCTCAGAAACGGGGGATTAAATTCCAGACTATCCTAATTCGCCATGATCCAGACAGTCTGAACTCTTTTTCTTTTTTACACTGAACCTTCAAAGATTCTGACTCCTCAGGGGAAGTGTAATTCTGTTTGCCTCTCCTAGACTCTCAGAGGACTGTGAGCAGAAAGTAAGAGCCATGGAGGCTCTCGATATCTGTTCGCCCAAGTTTAGTTTCTCTCGGGCGGTGGAAGCTGTGAAGACGGAGAGAGCGAGGATGCTGTGTGATGTTCTGTTGGATCAGACTGTCCTGCCTGGTGTTGGAAACATAATTAAAAATGAAGCGCTTTTTGATAGTGGCCTTAACCCAGCTGTCAAGGTACACTTTGTTTGTGCTTTACCAACACAAAAGAGTCAGTTTGTCTGAGAGATGTTACAGTTCAATGGATGCTTTCTTTTACTTTATTTAAAATAATTCTTTAAGTTATTTTTGTATTCTGTGCTTTTTAAGGTCAGTCAGTTGACAGACGAACAAGTTCATCATCTTGTGAAGATGACGCGAGACTTCACTCTTCTGTTTTATAAGGTACTTGAATCTCTCTACATTTTTCTGGTCAGTAATTTTTACCTTTTCTGTCACATCTGAGTTCTATTTCTGTTTCTGAAACAGTGTAGAAAGAATGGGTCTCCACTTTACAAGCATTACAAGGTGTACAAACGTCCAAACTGTGGCCAGTGTAGCGGAACTGTCACTGTCTGTCGACTGGGAGACAACGGCAGGATGACATACTACTGTCAGCGCTGTCAAACTGGTGATCCGAGTGAAGTGAACATCAGGTGAGATGCACCTCCACTCATAGCTCAAATCATCAATCGCTTTGCCAAAATAAAGTAAAATGTTATTACGTTTAATTATTACCTCTAATATATATGGTAAATAAAAAGTACAGAGAACTAAGAACGAAGTTAATATTGAGATATATTGTGTTACAAATGAATCAGCTGTTTTAAAGTAATTGATTCAGTGAATCACAAATTAAAGGGATAGTTCACACAAAAAATGTTTTTTACTCTCCCTCAAATAATTTCAGACCCTTATGTGTGTTCTTCTTCTTTTGAACACAAAAGAAGACATTTTTAAGAAAGCTAAAAACCTGTAAAATCAAATTCTATAGAAGGGAAAAACAAATACTATGAAATTCAATGGTTACAGGTTTCCACTTTTATGAAACTGTCTTTTGTGTTCAACAGAAGAAAGTCAAACAGGTTTGGAATAAGGGTGTGTAAATTACAGTTTTTTTTTCATGAACTATCCCATTAAGACTGGCACATACTGCCAACAATCAACTATTGCAGTGTTTCTCATCCACATTCCTGAAGAACCACCAGCTCTGCACATTTTCCATGGCTGCGTCTGAAAACACCTACTACTCAATAGGTACTGCATTTGAATTTAAATGTACTACTTGAAAAGCATGTTCTATACAGTATGAATGAAACTCGAACGTACTACATCCACCATTTTGTCATGATCACGTAACCTACCTGCGTCAGTTGCGTTGCTTCAATCACATACATAAATTGTCTTGCGGTGCATCATGGGATAGCATAGTGTCCATTGGATGCACACTTCAGAATCTCGCTGGAAGAATTACGTCATCCGTGTACTTCTCGAATACTGTTTTTCAAATTCTATGAATCTCAGCTCGCATACTGTTTTAAGCAGACTATAGACCTTTTTCTTCATTAATGCATGGAGGGTGCTATAGCAACAAGCGTCTTCCGATAGGATGCTTAGAACTTCCACTTACAGCATTTACAACTGGTAAATCTTGGTCAGAAAATGGTTGTCAATACTGTTTTTAGTGGCTAACCTAGTGTTTTTGTGATCCACAACTTTGATGCTGAAAGGTGTGTTAAAGCCATTAAACTTCTGTCAGATTCAGTTCAGGCGTGAGAAAAAAACGTTCTCCTAACTCAGGGTCTGCCATCAGATCGGTGTTCTCGACCTGTCAGCTGTTATACTGTGCTCAGCAGCTCTTCAATGCACACACACGCAATAGATCACTGCATTATAAAGCAAGCCATATTACTGGCATGAAACTTAACAGGCAAGTAACTAGGCGTGGGGTGATAATGGTTTTCAAGGTATATTTTTTTTAGGACAGCAGTATCTTCAGCAGAAAAGATATCCAAAAATTGCATTTTTAAGTTGTAATGAAATCTGTGTTTTTCACCCTAATGAAGACAGCAGAAGTCAATGTTTCATTTGAATTATTTAGCCAGACATATTTACTGTTCAAAAATTCAATTCAATTCAATTCAGCTTTATTTGTATAGCGCTTTTACAATGTAGATTGTGTCAAAGCAGCTTCACATAAATGGTCATAGTAATTGGAACAGTGTGGTTCAGGTTTTAGTGTTTAAGTTCAGTTCAGTTCAGTTTAGCTCTGTTCAGTGTGATTTAATCATTACTGAGAGTTCAAACACTGAAGAGCAAATTCATCGATGCGTAGCTCTACCAATCCTGAACCATGCGAGGCAGTGGCGACAGCGGAGAGGGAAAAAAAACTTCACCTGATGGGAGTGAAGAAAAAAAACCTTGAGAGAACCAGACTCAGTTGGGCACGACCATTTTAATTTCTCCGCTGGCCAAAAGTCTTGTGCAGAACTTCATTCGCCGTGGTTTATGCTGGAAGATGGCCTCAATGAAGACTCGTCTGTCCCTGGAGCGTCGCTGGAATCAGACACATGTTCTCCACTCCCCACGACCATCAGCGCAGCAGCAGCTCAGGATATGGCCTGGTCCCGGATATGGAATCCTTGGGATCATCACGTCGCTGGTCTTGGATCCAATCAGTGACTCCGCCTAATCTGAGGACCTCGGGATGAGTATCCCCAGGTGAAAATAGAGAATAAAGAGAATAATTAGCGTAGCTGCTGTTCATAGTGTATATAAGCAAGATGTAGAAGCCAGTGTGGAACCTGCTAGGTGATGCACTGAGTGTATGCTTTACTAAACAGATAGGTCTTTAATCTAGTTTTGAACTGGGAGAGTGTGTCTGAGCCTCGGACATTACCAGGAAGGCTATTCCAGAGTGTAGGAGCCATGAAAGAGAAGGCTCGACCTCCTTTACTTGATTTTGCTATTCTAGGTACTACCAGAAGCCCTGAATTTTGAGATCTTAAGGAGCGAGTTGGTTCGTAGCGAGACAGAAGGTTGGTTAGATAAACAGGAGCTAGATTATTTAGAGCTTTATAGGTGAGAAGTAATATTTTAAATTCAATACGAAATTTAACAGGCAGCCAGTGTAAGGAGGATAAAATTGGGGTGATATGATCATATTTTCTAGACCTGGTCAGAACTCTGGCTGCTGCATTTTGCACTAATTGAAGTTTGTTAATAGAGGATGCTGGGCAGCCAGCAAATAGAGCATTACAGTAATCCAGTCTCGAAGTCATAAAAGCATGGACTAGCTTTTCTGCATCTGAGATGGATAGCATATTTCGTAATTTAGCGATATTTCTCAGATGAAAGAAGGCAGTTTTTGTGACATGGGATATATGGTTTTTAAAAGTTAGATTGCTGTCTAATATGACACCCAGATCTTTTATAGTAGAGCTAAAGCTAACTTTGTATCCTTCTAATTGTAAATTGAGTAGCGAGATCTGCTGTGTGCAAGATTTAGGCCCAATAAGTAATAATTCTGTTTTGTCTGAGTTTAAGAGAAGAAAATTGTTGGTCATCCAGTCTTTGATGTCTTTGATACACTCAGTTAGTTTAGAAAGTTCAGACGTCTCGTCAGGTTTAGTGGAAATATATAATTGAGTATCATCTGCATAGCAGTGAAAGCTGATCCCATGTCTTCTAATAATGTCTCCCATAGGTAGCATGTAAATTGTAAACAGTAAAGGGCCTAAAACTGATCCTTGAGGCACCCCATACTTTACTGGGCAGATTTGTGAAGGCTGTCCATTAAGATTTACAAACTGGTAGCGGTCAGTTAAGTATGACTTAAACCATTGTAGAGCCTGTCCCTGGACACCTGTAGACTTTAAGCGATTTATGAGGATATTGTGGTCAATGGTATCAAATGCCGCACTAAGATCGAGTAAAACTAATAGCGAGACGCACCCTCGGTCAGCAGCTAAGAGTAAATCGTTGGTTATTTTCACTAAGGCGGTTTCTGTACTGTGGTGAGCCCTGAAACCTGACTGAAACACTTCAAAAATATTGTTCGTCTGCAGAAAAGAGCATAATTGAGTGGAAACAACTTTTTCTAGTATTTTAGACATAAATGGAAGATTTGAAATAGGCCTATAGTTAGCTAAGTTGTTGGTGTCTAGTTGCGGTTTCTTAATAATAGGCTTAATAACAGCTAGCTTGTAAGAGTTTGGAACATGGCCTATAGATAAAGAAGAGTTGATAATGTTAAGAAGAGGTTCTCCTATAGCAGGTAGCAGCTCTTTCAGTAATTTTGTTGGAATTGAGTCCAGCATACACGTAGCTGGTTTAGAGCTATTTATAATTTTCACTAACTCTTCATGTTCTATGATTTTGAAGCAGTGTAGGTTATTATTATGATTTAATGAAATATTTACAGGATTTGGAGTATAAGCCGGTGCAGAAAGTTTGGCATCTCCTATTTTCTGTCTAAAGCCTTCTATTTTATTACTGAAAAAATTCATGAAGTCATCACTACTAATTTGCGGTGGAGTAGTTTGTTCCAAGGATGACCGATTATTTGCTAATTTAGAGATGGTGTTAAATAAAAATCTAGGATTGTTATGATTATTTTCTATCAGTTTGCGCAGGTGCTCGGTCCTGGCAGATTTTAGAGCCCTCCTATAGCTGGACATACTGTCTTTGTACGCAATTCTAAAGACCTCTAAATTAGTTTTTTTCCATTTACGTTCCAGGGCGCGGGTTGCTGTTTTGAGCGCACGAGTATGACTATTATACCATGGTATAGTTTTAATCTCTCTAGCCTTTTTTAATTTTATGGGTGCCACAGTATTTAGTGTGCTAGTAAAGATGGCATCCATACTGCTGGTTACTACATCAAGATCATTTGAGTTTGCGGGTGCATTACGAAATAGAGAGAGATCAGGTAAGTTATTTATAAATTCATCTTTAGTTGACGGAACAATAGTTCTACTAGGGCGGAGTATTGGAGCGGGTTTGCTGATTTCAGGTAAACATAGCTTATATAGTAAGAGGTAGTGATCTGTAATATCATCACTTTGTGGTATAATGTCTACGTCAATAACCTCGATTCCATAAGACAGAATTAGATCTAATGTATGCTTTAAGCGATGGGTTGGACCCACAACGTTTTGCTTTATCCCAAGTGAGTGTATTAAATCCATAAACGCGAGCCCTAATGTATCATTAGCGTCATCTATGTGGATGTTAAAGTCACCTACAATTAGCATTTTATCAGTTTTGACTAGTAAGTCAGAAATAAAATCAGAAAATTCTTTTAGAAATTTGACATAGGGTCCTGGGGGTCTATATATGGTGATTAAAGCGAGAGATAACATAGGTTTTTGTATAGTATCTGGAAGCTGAACATTAAGCGATAATACTTCAAAGGAGCTAAACATAAGTCCGTTTCTCTGTTTAATATTAAGGAAATCACTAAAGATTGATGCAACTCCACCACCACGACCAGTTTGACGAGCCTCATGTTTATATAAGAATCCTGGAGGAGTTGCTTCATTTAAGCTAATATAGTCATTTTGTTTCAGCCAGGTTTCAGTGAGACAGAGTGCATTAAGATTGTTTTCTGTTATTATTTCATTAATGATAAGTGCTTTAGGTGCAAGTGACCTGATGTTTAGGAGACCAAGTTTTACGAAATTTGTATTTTCACTTTCTACTGGTTTTTCTGGTTTGATTCTTACTAGATTTTTCCTGGAGCACACAGTACGTTTATTTCTTAATCTAATAATACGAGGAACAGACACAGTCTCTATAGGATTCGCCAGATATGCGTTACTGATGTTTAAGTGGGGTGAACAAGAGTCTAGGTGGCTATAGTGTGAATTTTGTGAATTTTTACCTGCTAGTCAGATGGTGCGAAGTAGTCTGGAGATGTTGTCCGACAGGAGTTCAGCTCCGGCTCGACTGGGGTGCAGGCCGTCAGGACGGAAGAGCCTAGGACGCTCCCAGAAAAGATTCCAGTTATTAGCAAAGAGCAATTTCTGTTCTTTACACCATGTTATTAGCCATTCATTCAAAGCTAAAAGTCTACTGAACCTTTCATTTCCTCGGCGGTAGGTAGGAAGCGGCCCAGAAACGATGATCTGCGTGGCGGGCGAGGTGCGTCGAACCGTCTCGATCAGGCTCCTGAAGTCCTTCTTCAGGATCTCCGACTGCCGGAGCCCGGTGTCGTTTGTCCCCACGTGGAGGACAACGGCACCAGGGCTCTCGGCAGCGCCCAGGATGGTTGGAATCTGTGTAGAAATATTTTTCACACGGGCACCAGGAAAGCAGAAAGTACGTACTTTATTACCTTTTGAGGAGGCGGCACGGACGTGACGAACGATCGAGTCACCGATGATGGCCACATCGGGACCCGACTCGCGGAGAGGGGAGAAGCGGTTCTCCGTGGAGATCTCGAACACAGGCGGAGACGTTCTGCCCCGGGATCTGGGAAGCACCTTGCGCGGCTGCACCCAGGCGCCGTGGTAGCCGGGTGTCGGCGTGAACGACGCCTGGCTGAGCCGCGCCCCGGGTGCGCTGGGCCTGGACAGAGAAGGACGCGGGGTTGAGGTAGAGGGAATGATGTGGTTGTAATTTCCACGTACCTTAGGTGATGAGACGGCCTTAGCATTAGGTACGGCTAGAAGCCGTTCCCGTAGCCGCGACCGTCTTACCACCAGCGCGCGGATCTGGGACTCCACTTCTTCCAGCTCCAGCTCCAACGCCTCCATCGATGCTTCTCCTGCACACAAGGACAGAGACGGAAGCGACATTTTACGGGGTAAAGAGCAAAGCCAGTAAGTCAAAAGTGTATGGTTAAAGAGGTCGGTAGCTTTAGCTGACCAGCGGCGCTAGCAGGCTAAAGCTACAAACAACAGGCGGATGCTCGAGGGACAGACCGTTTTTAAAGCAGCTTTGTTTGTATCCAATTTGTAAGCAATTTTTACAAAAAGCAATTTGTAAAAATAGTATGCATCTTTCATAAAATAAAATATATTGTTTTCAAAGAGGAAAATTTTTTTTGTTTTTACCCAGGCATTAAAAAAAGAGCATATTTTTTTAGAGCAGTAATCATGATACCGCGATACTGTGATTATTTTTATCCAAGGTTATCATACCATCAGAATCTTATACCGGCCCATGCCTATACATAACAAAGCCAAGCCAATTTCCAAAAAAATAAAAGTATGTTACTGATACTCTGCTGCCTGATTTGCTTGTTGATTTTTTTTATTTTTTGTGATTGTGTGTCATTTCAAAATGCCACTTTATTTTCACTTTGTGTACCAGTCTTTCAATCACTTTTTTTAGTGGGACAGTACGTGTGTCCGTGTGTGTGTGTCAAACATTCTGGTGAATTACATTTGTTTGAGTTGGTTATATTTGAAAAATAAGAGAAATTGATGATTTTAGTGATGACGAGGCTCTATTTAAATAGCACAAGATGCCGTCACACGGTAATGGTAAATGACTCGCGAAATGTTGCTTTCATTCTTATTAGATAGCATTATTTAAATAATTAGTCCAGGAGGTGGCGCTGATTGATAGCAGTATTACTTCAAAGATGTTAAAAGCAGGTTAAATATATTAAAACTATTGTTTCAAAGCTGTGTTTATGTGTCTATGTGACTATCCTTAGGCATAGACGCAAAGCAAAAGGGGGTGATTTCAGAAGCAGCCCATGTCTCCTTAACCCTACACACCTGATTCAGATCATCAGTTCATCAGCAGAGACCTGTAAGACCTGAAATGGGTGTGACCGAGAAAGAAGACATCCAAAATATTCAGTGCTGGTGACCCCCAGGATTGTGGTTGAGAATCACTGAATTAGTGTAATATTTATGGATGACCGCACAAACACATTCAGCAAAATTCTTTATCAGTATTGAAAACTTCCAGGAGGGCAGCACGGTGGCGCAGTGGATAGCACAATCGCCTTACAGCAAGAAGGTTGCTGGTTCAAGCCCCGGCTGGGTCAGTTGACATTTCTGTGTGGAGTTTGCATGTTCTCCCTGTGTTCGTGTGTTTTTTTTTTTTGGGAACCTCTGGTTTTCCCAAGTCCAAAAACTTGTGGTATAGGTGAATTGGGTAAGCTAAATTTTCCATAGTGTATGTGTGTGAATGTGTATGGATGTTTCCCAGTAATGGGTTGCAGCTAGAAGGGCATCCACTGCTTAAAACACTCCGCTTGTAGCGACCCTAGATTAATAAAGTGATTAAGCCAAAAAGAAAATGAAAGAAAACTTCCAGGAACTACTGCAGTTTGATTTTTTTTTCACCCATTGTAGTTTTGTATATGTATACACACATTTACTTTTCACTTTGACAGCAAGCTCCCAACTCGTAATAGTCTGATTGGATGGGTTTATCAAGGAGGAATGAGCAGCAGCGAACATGTGGCCAAACGAGAAGAGGAAGAGTGGACATGTTCCCTCTGCACTTTAATCAATAGGCCTTTCAACAAGCATTGTGATGCCTGCATGAGCCCTAGGCCAGATGGTAAGCTTTAAATGCAAGTATTAGTACAGAACATTTTTCAAAAATACTTCACATCCACAAATATCTTTTTATATCTTTCTCTCTTCTCATTTAAAGAGCCCCAAAAGCTGGAACATTCACCTTTGAGTCCAGACCTGATCCGCTACCCCTGCAACAGTTTTAGCAAACCCCTGCAGGAAATAAAGATGAATCGCAGGGCCGCATTTGGGACAACCACTCTAGTGCTAACCAGCCTCAGTGCAAAACCTGACTCTCCTTCAAGTCCTGCCATTAACCAGGCACACACACCAGAGACAATGAGAGGTCTGAGCACGCACGGCAACTGGCAGCGGAAGAGTCCCAGTAATGGCATGAGTGGGATGCAATTCAAAGGCAATGAGCCCTATAAGAGAGAATCTCCAACAGACCACAGTCAGCCTAACAAGAGAATGAAAACCACGAATGGAACGTTTTCTGGAGGAAACATAAAGCACATCTCCTCAAGGTAAGCAAGTGTGGTTAGTTTCGGCAGTGATGAGATGTATAAATGAAATACTGCTATTTTATAAGTTAATGTTACCAAAAAAATACTAATTAATTTTATATGATGAAATAATATTATAATTATAATATGAACTTTTTTATGTGGATGTTTTTTTTAAGCCTGTAAGATTTTAAGTTATTAATCTGTGTCCTGTCACATTTGCCATTAAATGGATGGTGTGTGTGAGTCATTGTTGAAGAAGGGCTTCAATTAACTCAACAACAAATACATTAAATAATCATTGGGAAAGTTCTTACTGTAGTATTTCACTCAAACGTTATGTGAGATCTGCTTCCTTCATGTCTGTCACTGAGGTGTTTATCTGACGCAGCCGAGGTGGAGATTGAGGCATACTCTAACAGGCACATAGGAACGGTGGGCAGGGAGAACTAGCATTAAAGGCATAGGCAACAAAAACAGCTAAAATGTGTTCAAAGTAGAAACTTTTAAAATTCTAAAAGCTATAAATAAATAATCTGAAGGTTGTTTTGAGCTGAAACTTTACAGACACATCCTGGAGACACAAAAGACATCTTAAACCTTGAAAAAGGGATAAAATAGTTGCTCTTTAAACCATTTGAGCACAAGAAATGTAAAGTTTGCCACTTTAACGAAGATTAATTGTTTGTTTATTTATTTATTACAATGAAGATTACACAGTGTTATTGTACATCTGATTGCAGTTCTATACTTAAATGCAGTTATCTCCACCACAAACCATAAAGCGTTGGTTTTTATTTTTTATTTTTCATCTTCGCTTTAATTTGTTTAGTATAATCTATGCAGTTGCAGTTAATATAACCCCCAAATATACAAATGAATCTTCTATGAGGAGATGTTATATACTTTATATATAAATATGTATATACTTGATTTTATACTAACACATTTATAATTGACCTAAAAATGAAAACTATTATTTACCACCTTAATTTCACCTTTATTCTCTTAATCGTGATGTTGTTTTGGACCCCACTTTGTACTGACAAAACCGTTCTTCAAATTATCATCATGTGTATTTGAAGCAAAACAAATTACAGGTTGAAAATCCTGTAATTCATAAAAAAATTAAAGACTGTCTGGCTGAACAATTACTTGAAGTGGTTTGTAAAATAAAAAGCTGGTTTTGTCTAACTGATATTTTGATACAACTTGGCAGGGGCACGCAACAAAGTAATGATGCTTCCCTTCCCCCAACCCCCTGCTGCAAAAGCCATCACCGACCATGCACCCAGAGAGTGGTCACTAAGGAAGGAGAAAACAAAGGCAGACAGTTTTACACCTGCTCCCTGCCCCGAGAAACTCAATGTAACTTCTTTGAGGTAAGAAACCTTTTTTTGCATTAAAAGCTTTATAAAGGTATATTTAAGTATTTTATGTGTTTTTACGACTATTTAATTTAGATTTTTAGGGCAACAGTATCTCCACATCACATGCCATTGGTCAGGCTACGATTTAGAAAACATCTGGAAAAAAAAATCACTTATCAAGCTACTTCCAAGCATGCTATAGAGTTATATATAGAGTTATTGTATAGAGTATTTTTTTACCCTAACATTTTAAAATAGAACATTTTAGAGCAGCAATCATCAATCATGAACCTATCATCCTGTGAATTTTTTTTATTATTGCATTTTTTTTTTTTTCGGGGTTTTCACCTTTAGTAGATAGGACAGTAGAGAGTATTAACAGCAAAGCATGGGGAGCAGAAAGAGAGGAAGGGTTGTGATAGGATCAATCTTGGATCGCCACGAGCACTAACCACTACACCACTGGCGCCAACATCCGTGATATTTTCATCCAAGGTTATCATACCATCAGAAATCTTACATGTGATGACCTTTAATTTGGCCCACAATGCCTTTGACAGAGATTGACATTTCTTATTTAACGAAACCTTGTTTTGTTATTGTTGACTAAAGAAAAAGCTTACTAAAATGAAATGTTTTATGATTAGAATGTTTTTACAATGTAAATAAGGTCACCTGATGGGTAGAGGAAATTGCATAAGACATCAGCAAGAAAATCAAGGCAGCTTGACGTGTATTTAACATTGAACTCCATTGCGTTATAAATGGGGCCGTTTACAGTATGTTTACTGTAAAAAGTTCATTATGAAACTTTATCATTTTTACTGCATTAATACTATTTCAAGTAATATTCAAATTATTTTTAAATATTAGGAAATTACCCACCGCAAATTTAATGAAATACAAGCTGTGTCCCAAATGGCACACATGCACTTACACACTCAAAAGCATAGTATATGTGTAGTGTTGTTCCTAATGAAACACTAATGTTTTTTTTTGTTTTACAAAGTGAAAATTCAAACCATTTCCCAGACAACGTTTGACGGTTGCCAAATTGGTGAAATAAATGACCAAACTACCCAATAATACCTGCCATGAGTATAACCGCATTCACCATCAGGTGGTGGGATAATCACTCCTTGGAGAATTTTGCTTTCACAATCCAAAATAAATTTTGCTTCACTACAAGAGCAAAGCAGCAGCTGTTGAGTGTGTGAAGTGTTCAACATTCCACACTTAATTTTACCATTTGATTAAGTGCATCATTTGGGTATTTAAAGGGCCATGAAACCCCCTCGTTTCAGCAGGGTGTTTTCACACCTCTACTTTGAAAAAAGTCAGAAAAGTGGGCGTGTCCAGCTCTGTTTAGGGGGGAGTGTCGGAGGAACTAAAGTGGGAGGGTGTGGGAGTGTCTATTTGGGCACGCGCCAGTTTCAGTCAAAATACAGAGGAGAAAGGGATGGTGTTTAACCTACATGGACATCTGTAGTCGGATTATTTGCCAAATTATTAAATGGTGGACTTTAACTGCAGTTTGGCTCTTTCATTCAGGGAATTCATTCATGCCCCTCGCGACAAATGAGATATTTGATTCGAGGATCTGCTCTAAGCGTGTATTTTTCATGCAATGTTTGATAGCGCACGGCGAATGACAGAAAAAAAACTCCGCATTTCCCGGAAACTTAGATGCACACGGCAGGTAGCGTCCGAAAGCCGCCTGTGTTATTCCGGTCACAAAACGCGGTGCTAACATGTTTGCACTCAATGCAATAGTTAACTTAATTCGATACGAACAAACTGAATATACAAAGAGCACTGGTCGCTCACTTACCAAATCTGTAGAGACAGGACAATCACCAGCAACTAGAGCTGCGTCTTTATGAAGAGAAGACTACATCCGGAATCCGGATTTCAGCGTTTGCAGATGAGAACAGCTCTCAGGTAAACAATAATCCCCCTTAGACGCGTAAATTATTGTTGTCGAGCGTCGCGTACACTGTCACACGTGAATCCAGCTGAGCTCTCACAAAGAGAAAATGAAAACGAAACTTAATGGCAGCAAACTGTAAAAGCAACACTTCACGCTTGTTTTGCCAACACAACGTGGCGTCTCTGTGGTGTAAAGACGGTGACACTAATGAGTATTAATGAAGTTGCACAATAGAGCGCGCTGATTGGTTTGAACCAAGCCTTACTCATGCATTAATGCAACACACTGTAAGACGTAATAAGACTCACTCTGGCACAGACGCCCAGTCTGCACGCTGGAATACAACGCTATTATGTCATGACCGTGACGCAGCTTCAAAAATTCGTTTCAAACAGGAAGTACGAATTTGCTTGAAATAACGCAAAAACAACCAATTTACATTTTTTAGTGAAATATATGTGTCCTAATAGTGTTTTAGCAGTGTGGGACACATATACGACTGTCAACAGCTCAAAAAATGTGTTTTGGTGTTTCGTGACCCTTTAAAGTCCACTTATTATTTTCAGTGAATACACACTATTTATACAACTAGTGTAATATAGTGCATAAGTATGCAATTTGGGACGCACCTACAGTTTGCTATATTTAACTTTGGCCCAAAACCCTCTATCAAGTTTAGTTGTTGGCCCTTCGTAATAAAAAGTTTAGCCACCCTTGAGTTTAACACTTGTGTAAATTTAATATAAAAAGATGAAGTATTTGGGTTTTGTATTTCCTATTTCCTTAACATTCGGAAACATCTTGAACTTCTGATAAACATGCTTACTGTAGGGTAAGTTTATTACAGGTTAGTCAAACATTCTAACTGTACAGTCAGTTTTATGGATTGTTCTTGCAACTGTTTTCAAATCAACTTGATAACTAATTTGTGGTTTGCAATTGCTTCAATTGTGATTTTTGCAACAGTGGGCAGACCTGCATTTCCCCATGTGTCATCATGGCAAACGGACCGTTATGAAAACTGTTCTGAAACTGGGACCCAATAATGGCCGCAACTTCTACACATGCCCAGTTAAAATGGGCAAGCAGTGTAACTTCTTTCAGTGGGCTGAAAATGGCCCTGGCATCTCAATTCTGCCTGGCTGCTGAGTCCACAGCGTGAGTTGGACATGACATCTTTTCAAATGCATTAAAAAGCTTTTGAAGCTATGTTTGCTTTTTTTGTTGAGATGATGAAAACATAAGTGTGTGTTTTGTCATAGTAAATCTGTAATAAAAGATTCTTTTAAAAAACAAATTATTGGCAATTTATTATGGTCTATTTGGAAACATGTAGCAGTTCAAATACAGTACAAAACATCCAAGAGCTTAATCTGATTCGCAGATCTTTCAGCAGATTTAAAAACATTTTAGGAATGTATTTTAAAAAGTGCAAAGTCACTTTGGATCAAAAGGCATATACACTTCAATGATACATGAATCAAATTTACAAGACATAGTATACAAGTATACAACAAAATGGTTGCAATTAAAAGCAGTTCACTGTATGCAACTCGGGCTGGTTTGTCAGTGGGTTGACCACCATGAAGGGAAACTGGCTGAACCCTGGACGCTTGTTACAAGCAGCACCTTTTGACAAAAAAAAAAAAAAAAAAAAAGCATTTCATAAATTATATAACTTCATATGCTAAGTCTGAGTAAGAAAAATAATCAAGCTTTAGCATTTACCATAATCACCAGCTGTATTAGCACAAATAACTGCTCCAAAAAAATCAGGGTAATACTTCTTGATTCTGTTAATGGCTGTCCGACAGGCAACAGTGGGTTGTGCTCCATTTCTCATCAGCTCAACAGCTAGAAAACTTGAAACAAAATAATGAATAAAAGTATTTAATATAATAATACACTTCTATTTTTTTTTTTTAATTCAGGCAGGTGTTATTCTAAAGCCACATGCCTTTTGATTTATTTCAGGATTTCCACTGTAAGCCAAATGTCAAATGACATTCCTGAAATTCAATTACCCATTGGAATCCTATTATTTGGACCACAAACGGAGACTTATTTCTTAAACTGCTAACAAATTTATATAATCTGATAACTGGAGTTCTGTTCTAGAGATAATTAACTTGATGGATAAACTTATTTACTCATTAATTTTCCTTCGGCTTAGTTCCTTATTTATCAGGGGTCGCCACAACGGTACGAACCGCCAACTATTCCAGCATATTTTATTTTTTATGCAATTGATGCCCTTCCAGCCACAACCTAGTACTGGGAAACTTGATGGAGAAACTACACAGGTAATATATTTCTTGTCATGCTTCCGATTAATCCTGATAAAGCTTTTTCTGGGTGGGTGGGAGTGAACTAACCAAGCGGCAACCTCCTGCTCTCTCTCTTGAAGCTAATATGAAAGAAACTGAAACTGCAATTCTTCGAAATTCCACCAGGGCTGGCTTCATAAGGCACATTTCTATTGAGCCAACTGTTAAAATGGCCATTATTAGAAAATAAAGGTGTTTACAGCCTGGTACAAAGAACGATTTTGACTCGTATAGCTAATATTACCCTTCATGACAACTGTGAGGGGGCTGATTTTTTTTTTTTTAATAACATCCATTTTGTTTATATTAAGTTATATTAAGTCTGCATAAATTAGGACGTGGCACTTGAGTGACAGCTAGGTCTTGCTGGTCGCTGTCAGCTCCGCTCAAGCTTCGTCTGCCCTTGTTTGGGTACCCCTGGTTGGAGAGATGACCCAACTTGCCCACTTGTAGCTTCATTTGATCTCTTAAGAAACCTATGGGCGACCACGGATACTGCATCCTTATCTTTTGCAGTCTAAGGAACTAACACACTAAATAGTTTCATGAACACACAACCATACAGTATAGAGCCATATAAAAGAACAACAATATTAGAGAATTTTGTAAAACCACCTCAACCCTTGTGGTCCAAATAGAAACTGCAGCATCAACAGGCTGCAGTAAACAATAGCTATTTGACATGAGCTAAATCTTTAATTCATCAAGGCAGCTCATAAAGGTTTTTGTCTGCAGACAGACACTAATAAAATGACATCTCAAGAATAATAATTACCTTGGAAGGAAACGCATCATGATGTCTCCGTCTCCTGTGGCAGCCGCTCCACCGACTGTGCTGTCAGCATAAGCCCCGGCTCCAGCCACTGGTGAATCACCTACACGGCTACACATCAGCATGTATACACTTTAGTAAAGCTCTATTGACAAGGGACTGGAAAGCCATTTCTGCTAGTACTGAACAACAGCAAAGCTAAATCTCAGCTGAAGAGATTGTTTTTTCTTCCAGTTTTAAACACTCATGCATTCTGGCTTCAACAGGACACCCGAGACAAACTTTAGTAACCGGTTTGTTGTGCTCACCCTGGTATCTTATGTGTTGCTCCATTGGTGGATGTTGCAGCAGCTACCTGTCCTTTCCTTCCGATCACAACCATACCTAATCAAAATAAACAGTTAGAATGTTAAACTAGGATCATATGCGTCAATGAATTGAATCAAAGCAGCGGTTTGCAAGTATGTCCTCAAGGCATGAAGCCCATTTATCGCGCTTTCTTCTCATTATGCAAATTCAAACTAATGAGCTTGGTACTCTGTGGACAAGTCCATGTCTGCTCGCAGAAAAATACATTTGCACCAACAGATTTCTTTGTCTTAAGACTGATCGTTTTTGTCTTACCAGATAACTATTATTTCAAAAGTATTTCAAGCCTTTATGTAACCCCTAATGTTCTACTCTCTTGGCTCTAAGCCGGATTCATATCAGCGCTTCAAAAAATGGGAGATGCATGTATTAGCATGGACAGTAAAAACAGCAGCTGTTGGCATCAATTCCAAGTAGTTTTCTCACTTCTAATAACTGACCTAAACTCTCGCCTCAACCTCACTTCCAACTGGGTCTTAGCAAAGACTATAGAATACACAAGATGTGTCACTCATATAGTTTTGAATAGGGAAAAGTGTAATGGTCAATATGACGAATGAAGCGCCACCACCTAGTACAGGAGCCAATCATAGATCGATATAGACTGATGATTCTCTGGGGGAGGGGCTCAGACCAGACATGACTTACTTTCTGCAGATTTTGTGTTTCGAACGTTTAGAAATGAAAGACAGTATTTGTTTAATTTTATTGGTGATTTATGATATGAATTTTATTTTAAGCTTGGCAAGCAATTTTGGAGAATTTAATGTTTCCCCATTCAAACCGAATGTCCAAGCATGCTGCCTGAGAGCCATTTCAAAGATGACCATCGAGTGAAATTACTTGCCATGAAAGGCACTTTGATCTTAGCACTATAAAGGACTTTTTGCACTAAATGTTTTCATTGGCTGTGTCTGAGATCACATGCCTCTCTACTTAAATATTGGTAACAAATGTATGTCTGAAATAAAAGTACTCGTAATAGAGAAGATAAAAGTAACCAGATGATCTACTTCTTCCAGAGGGATTCTAAAATGTGCATGTGGTGGATACTTTACTTTTGTATGAGGCCCAAGAACAACACATGAGGTCCATGTACATTTCTGAATGGCTATGAAGTAATACCAATAGGTTATGTGAGAGTAAAATCATAGTAAATGTAGTATGCCCAGAATAAGACTGAGATTTCAAAAGCAGCCTTAAGGCTGAGTCACACTGTGCAAATTTTAAATTTAAATTTTATTTTTATATGATTGTAGCATGTCAAACTGCAAAAACATGGCACCCATGTCACACTGTAAGATCTCAGCTGTCATAAAGTCAGACTAAAAGACAATGAGCCAAACAGAGTTTGACATCATCCACCCCTGACACTTTCACTATCCTATGTTCTGAAATGATTCCTCGCTGCAAATGTAAACTACGTAAACAATTGTGCACGCGGCATGATTCAATAATAAAACCAGCCAGGAAGGTTTTGACATTTCCCTGCGGTCATTTGACTTATATAAATTCCGAGCTCCTATTGGTTCTTGGATTGACACATCTGTTGTCACACTGCAGGAAAGTGTCTGATATCTTCTGACATTTCCAGAACTTCATAGGAGGAAAAATCTCATGTCAATGAACATGTCAAACGATCAAAGACCACAGATGTTAGCCTAGGATTTCAGGAATCTTTTAGGATTTTCAGATTTGTCTCAGATGACAAAATCATGGCTGAAATCGCAGTGTGAGCAGGGCTTTAGGGTGCTTTGCACCACGACTTTTGGTCCGAACCCCAGGTTCATTTGACGTCAGAGTTAGGTACATTTTAGCTAGTGTAATTGTCTTCTGAACTCGATCGGACACCCACAAACCGTACCCGAGTCGGCCTAAAAGAGATGGTCTGGGGTAAGGTTCTTGCAAACTCTGGTCTGGTTCACTTGTATGAACGCAATCAAACAAAATGGCAGAAGTGAATCGCCGTTTATTCATGTGTGTTTGTGTATCACCAAATGTTACTTTAGTGATAGACAAGACTGACCCAGTGATAACAGTGATGATGTCTGCTTGTCTTTTCCACAAACGACTTCTGCAGACATTGCGCTATGTACTGGAAGTTTTTAATATTTAGATAGATGCAGATAGATGCAAGTCGCTCTCTGTACTGTGTGTTACCAAAACCAAAAGATTCAGTAAAGGTACAGAATGACCGCGATGTGCATACGTCTTTTCATTTTGGCATTGTGGCTATACACAAAAGCAGCTTGAAGACGCTAGGAAAAAAGATGGTGTGGACAAACCAATCGAGAAAGTGGCAAGGGGGGACAATTGAACCAAGTGTGAAAGCACCCTTAGTTCCTGTGACCATTTCCAGACGTACCCACTTTTTAGCGTGTGGGCCTAACCCAGTCCAACCCAGCAAAATAGGCACTATACCAGTAACAAAGATTATAGGTGCCTGGCCACAGATATTCTATACAAAACACAAGTACCAACTACTTTAAAAGCAATTTGATCAAGAAAAACATGATAGGTCTAAGTATTCCACTAAATCTAGATAACGACACTGTTAATAGCAGTACTCCAATGACACTCATGTCACTTCAGAGTTTGTATTATCAGGACAACTGCCCTAGGGGAAAATTAGCAGCTTTTGAACTGGAGGAACTTTTGATAGTTCTAACATCTACTGATGTAAGTATCCATATTTAATGTGTTCACCCCTCTGAAACTGCAAAAGATTTTAGTTCTAGGAGCATTTTTGATATTGTTGAATACAGTGTTTGATGTTGCTGTTAGATATCTTAAGTCACTTTAAAGTGCAGTAATGGTGAAATTC